CAGTTTGGCATCCAACATGCGACACTCATATTTCATTGTTAGAGCGTGTTCAAAAAAAGTTTTTGAGGTCTATTGAATTTAAAGAACATCATCTACATCAACAAGGTGAATATGAATGGGTCATGAGCTTCCTCAATATTAAATCCTTGGAGATACGTAGAGATATAACGGATTTATGTGTTCTTCACGCCATTATTAACAACCATATAGATAGTAATGACTTATTAGCCAAACTAATGTTTAGGGTTCCAAATAAAAACTGCAGAACTACTAGATCTTGTAAAATTTTCAGAATTAACAAAGCATCTACTAATATGTCAACTAACCACCCATTGCGAAGAATGATGAAACAAGCAAACGAACTATCTAATTTTGTAAAATTTGATATTTTTAACTCAAACCTTGTTGTATTTAAGAGAATGATAAATAATCTTGTATAATTCGGATAATTTAAAATTGTTTCTTTTTGTGTTTATTGTATGATCATTGTTATAAAGATAATTAATTAAGTTAATCATATACCTTATGTATTTGTAAGTTTAATTTTCTTACTTTTTGTAATTGGAGTTATTCCGTAATAAACTAATAATAAATAATAATAATAATAATAATAAATTATGGGAAATAGTCATTTACAGAGGAAATAGTTGTTCAAATCCAAGACTTACGACAAAAAGTTGACCCGAATTTGAAAATTACGGTCAAAAGATCAAGGTCCCGCAAGTTTGTTATCGAAAAATAAACTTTTAATTTTAGTTAATTTTAAAAATGGATGCTTCTAAAGAATCTCAAATTTTAAACAATTACTCTAGTAATAGATTATTAACATAATAAATGTTAAATGCTATTTTACTGATATTAAAAAATAAATAAATAAATAAAAATTAGTTTATTTTGCGAAAAATAGATAATATCAGTGTAAGAAAAAAAGAAGTGGAGATCGAACTTGTGATCTTCGCGTTATTACCCAATATGCATCTGTACTGCGTTCCTCTTACAATGTTAGAAAATGTTTTTTAGAAAAATTGGATTTTTTTGCGAAAATCTGAATGCCTAGAGTAAAAAATCAGAACGGATTCGTAAACACAAGTACAGAGGTATGTTATTTTAGAAATTTAAATAGCACTAACTATGAAAAATTCGGAGATGATATCATCCGAGTGTTGTTGGAGATAATTAGTCAAATTAGCGTTTTCCCATCTACAGGGTATAATAAATAATAATAAATAAATAAAGTTTATTACGTCAAAAAAAAGCAATACATGATTAGTTGAAAAACAAAAACAATTATACAAATAAAAATTTACGGAATTCTCTCTTGAATTTATTAAATGATACACCAAATAAATATAATAAGTACTTTTATAAAAATCGATATGACGACAGACAAACGGAAACCTTTTTTCGTACTCTAGGGGTCATTAAACGTCGAGAAAATATGGAAGTAGCCATTCGTCGTTCGGGAAGTAAAAATTCAAGATTCGGCGAAGAGTATGTGCAATTTGTGGGATAATTGTCAACAACTAAAATGTTCCACAATTCTAAAAGTGTTTTGAGAAATATTTTTAATAAAATTTAGAAGAAAATCTGAACTTCCTAAATACAGACAAATTTTGTTTAAAAAATCCAAAAGAATTTCAAAAATGTTAAAACATTTTCAAGAGCAAAAATTACGATGAAAATATAAGAAGCCATTCAAATAATACGCTACCAAAATAAAATCACCACTTGTTTAAAGAATATTTTTCGTTTTTCAAAATTTAAAAAAAGGCAACTGAAATATCAAAGTGTACATTTTACAACAGGTGTATTTATTTTGCTGAAAGATGTTCTAAAAAACTACTTTGTTAAATATTTAAAATTAATTTTTATGTAAGTTGTTAAATCTAATCTTAAAAATGAAACCTGAAATCCTGAAAAGCGAAAAATTCTCAAGGTGCACAACAACTTGCAAAATTATAACAACCGTAAACAAACTTCTAAAATACCACACAATTTTATTTGACCCCAAACTAGTTATTACAGTGCGACAATTTTACCGGAATTCTCCGGCAAAACTCACAAAAACGGCACAATTTTATGTAAGCCTAATTTAACAAACACTGCAAAAAGCGACCGCGCCGAGCTTCTCCGCGGTCACTAACCATTCGAGGGGAACCCAACACTTCACAAATTCCCCATAAAAAACTAATCACAAATGCATCCGGAACTTTTGTTGGTCAATACAAAAAGCGACCTCCTTAGCATTTTGATCTAATTATGAACTAGAGCTGATGCACTCGCTAAAAAACGTTAACCTACTTCCATTCCGTCTGGACCTCCATCCACTTCCTTAAGGGCAATGATTTTTACGAGCCGACAAATTGGCGAAGGATAAAAGGCCCTGCCGTCAACGATATCAACTTCCGGCAGCTATAAAATGCATGGGCAGACGCGTTATTTGTGGGATATTAGATTACGCTATTATCCTGCAAGGTGATCGGTCGTTGACTGGAGAATATGTGTCAGCTGGTAGTTCATTAAACAAAGGTCTTCATAATGGGTACCGTTGGAGGCGCAATTTGCCAAACTATAACTGTCGTTAAGATAATGGTAAATAAATGGTGCCGGGGTTCGGTTTTGTAAAGTTCAAAGTCTGGTGTGACTATGTGGTTCTGGCAGCTGGTGAAAGCATACTTAAAAAATTGATTGAATCAGCTGTCCTTGACACATCGCTTCTAGTGACAGTACTCTCGCAGTCTATAAACAAAATATTAAGTATACAATATTTTCAAAATTTTTGATAATGGATTTTTTATTTCGATTTTTTTTTCCATTTCCACATCGGTGTCGATTGTTATGCTGAACGTAAATGTTACTACATATGACGACTACTTTTTTTAACGGCACTAATAAAAGAGGTACGCTTTTATGTTCTTTGTACATGAATATAGATTTTGTTTTTTTTTTTAACAGACTGCGACGGAATAGTTTGTGCATTATGTTCATAATAATTATCCTCTCATTACTTTTGTTGTTGTTTATTTAATATTTCTCTGAAACGTGGCTGTGACGTATTTAACAACTTTCACAAAAAAACCAAAATAATAAAAAATGAGAACTTGTGGAAAAGTTAAGTAAAATTTTCCCAGATTTTGCGCTAACTGACAACATTTACCTCAAAATAAATTAAACAATCAACTCCACACTCGGAAATTCTACTAATTATAAGTTAATTTATTAGCTGAGAATGAGTGAATGGTACGTAAGTGATTCAAACACTATGAGGTGAATACCATAACGACCACAGTAATTGAACATAACGTAAATCATGGGAATTTTCTATTATAATTTTAATTATTATTACATAAACTTTAAAAAGTGCTTGTGGTAATTTAAAAACAGGGTGATTTTCTCCATAGACAACAATGCTACTTCCGATCATTCACATAATTTCACTTACAAGAATACACAGAAACACAAAATAGAGTCAACAACCCTGTAGATAACAATGTTGTAAAATAAAAGTATTAAGCGCAACTAATTCTTTAATTCGTGAATTCGCACAACACAAGCTAAATTTAGATCGAAACAGTTCACCTATCATGCTCGCGTTTTATATTCCAAATTATTACTTGACAACCTTGATAAAAAAAAAACATCCTGATAAGCAGATCGTCACATACCACTTCGAAATTTACATTGGAGTGACACGTGGGTCTATACTAAATCTCGTATGTTTCGTTTTTTCTATCAATGATCCAAACGGATATGCTCACCATAAACCAGTTGCATGCGGGCGACACAAATTCATTTCTAGTACAAGATTCGGATGTCGTTGGAAACATTCTAACGCAGTTTATTCAACCGGTTTTTGTTTAGTCCTCGTTCTTTAAATTACAACAAATAGGATTATTTTATAGTCTGTCATAATAATGGTTGCTATAGCTAAGTAAACTACATAACGGAGAAAGTCAAAGAACTGTAAAAGCGAGTCAAAAGTAGTGGAAAAGGAAATAAAGACCTAAATTAAATAAATTAAAGTTGAAATATATGAAGCGTCTATTTTTCAAAGTCTGTCTGATAGTTAAAATCCATTAGAGATATCGTCCAAAAAATGCGACTGTACTATAAACTGTTTAATTATTTAAGTCTTGACCAAATTATTACAACAAAGAAGAGCTCTGAGGAAGTTTTTAATGATCTAAGACGATTCGAGCAGGATCCACAAACATCTTTGACAAGATAATCTCAGCAGTCGGGAGTTTCTGTTGCCACATCAAATTGAACAATGAGTCCAAAGCATTAACGAAAGAATGTTACGGAATTTGTTTCTTTTTACTGTAATGAATTAAATTGATTTTTTAATAAGATATGAAGAATTTAGGCAACCAGTTATACAGATGCGTGTAGTATCTGTCGTGAGTCCTTGGGCATAAAGTGATAGGCGGCACACTTCCATGACCTATTACAACCCTATAATCATTTATAAAAACCCTGTACGTATGCCCTGCTACCGTACTCAGTTTTATTAATTGAGTTTACTTTCTTCTTCTCTTTTTGGATGTGTTTTCCTCATAGAACAGTACTGATGATCTTTTTCGGCCTTGAGCAAAAATTGTTTACTTTGAAAATATTACAAAAAATATATTTGTTGTAATTGTTTTTGAAGCTTTCGACTAGCATGCACACCAGATGAACAATTTAGCAAAACTCAAAAATCCGTTCAAAAATATACCGTAAATTTTACTTAGTCCAAACAATTTTTATAAAAAAACGCTATCATACAACATCAACGACATAACCACCTTTCTAAATATTCCTCAACCAACCGGTCATAAGAAAAAAACACAACAACAACAATAATCACCTTTCTACTCCTTTACTAACCCGTCATAAAAAACACAACAAATTAAATAATCCGTGAACAAATATTTAAACAAAATAAATAAAACAACCCGAAAACAAGCTTCCTTTGTGTCGAAACGCCTGCCAACTAAGTACTCCCCAAACACACCAACACCAACACCCGCAACTCAATGTCACACTCCATTGTCTTTCTAATTCAAACACCAACATCAATCCAACTTTGAGCAACTTCCTTCATAAATAACCATAGCAGCAGTACTTAAATCGAGCACATCCATCCTCGACTTTTCTCGTTTTTCTCTCGTCGGTGCTGCCAGTCGAAAATCCTGCTCATTCCGCTCACCTGAAACCGATCGCTGTAGAAACCTGAAATCACCCGTCGACCTCAGGATCCGCAGCCTTGGTCGGTGTAAGTACTGCCCGCACCGAAGAAAGCATGTCGGCGTACCGTCAGTTCGTGTGATTGTTTCGGCCAGGTGAGAGTGCTCGAGCGGTGTTTGGTAGTTTGTAGTCTGCAGCGCGGAGGAAAAACTTGGGAAACCGAAAGGTACTGCAGAAGTGCAAATTCTCGGGAACGGAACCACCGTGGATTGTGTTAAGTAAGTAAGGGTTAGGAGGCTTGATGGAGGTTGAGTAACTGTGCTGTTTGTGGTACTGGAGTAGTACCACTGACGAGGAATCTGCGCATAACTGTACTGTTTGTAGGTAAAGTGGTACTTTAAAAGCCTGTTTAAATTTAGAGATGTAGGACAGTGGTGATTTAAATTTAAGAAAAGGTTACATTTTCCACGATGGTGGTTGCAATGTGCGTAATTCATGTCAATAACAAAACAAAACAATGTTGTTAATTAACCGAAAACAACAAACATATAATTAAAAGGTTAAAAAATGATTGCTCATTAAAACTGCCGCAAACTAATTAATATCAAAGGAATGTTTAAATATTTTTCCAGTGAACACAAACAACAGAAGGAAAGTTTTCGCGGGGGAAATGCATTTATTGCGTAAATGTTGCCTTATAAACCAATGAGAGCAGTGAACGAGTACAAGTTTCCATAAAAGTAATTTCGTGATTGTTAAGATAACTTGGTCTTGTAAATACGTTTATAATCAAATTACCGTTATTAATATTAAATATATGCAAACTTGGTAAAAGTGTATGCTAGAATTAAAATACGTAGAATGTATGAATTAAACAAAAAAAAACGCAAATACCATGATTGCAAATCAAAATGAACTGCGAATTTTATTTTTTTGTTATTCTTCTGTTTTTTGTTGTGAAAAGATGGCTGTGTATATTAAGAAAAAAAAGCACAATATAAGCCCCGCCCACCCGCCCTATCTCAATTCTGTTGATTTTTTTAATATTTCGTAAGCCGAGGGGCGGAGCTTAATTGTAAAATCCTTATTTTTCTACGAGAAATTACCATGTGGAATATGTTCTTAAGCTTAAGTAATCGTGTTATACAAAGAAAACTAAATGTATTAATTAAAAAAGTAAAAACCAAAAGAGAAGCCCCACCTATCGGTCTCGATCTCAACCGTGATGAATTTTTCATTCGCTGTCAGCCCGAGGGGCGGAGCGTAATTGCAAAGTGGATATTTTCCTATACAAATTTACAATTTTAAACATGTTTCGTGTACAATCGAATAATAATAGGTTGTTCCGGGCGTAAAAAAACTCTTTTTGGCCCGAGAGACGAAAATAACTCTTTTTGACTCGTTCAATATATGTATAAAAATTTAGACCGTAATTACTCTTCTTTTAAACTCTTTCAAAAATAAAACAACAGAGCTTCGCAAGATACTTTTATGTTCTTTAAAAAAGATACTAAGGGTTCCTAAGTTTCTATCAATCTCTTTTAAAAACAAAACAGACACCCCTAAGGTACCTACACATTCTTTAAAATAATCTAAAGCTAAAGTGAATCCAATGATATTAGCCAATAAAAAAATATATTAAAACGTCAGTCAGGCACGGAATAACCCTTATAAGGAATTTATAGAAACAAGAATCAATTCAAGTTAAAAAAAAACAAAACAAAAAAACTGGCGCGAAAAATAAAAATATAAAATCAAAATGGATTTTTTTTAAATTCCATTGGAAATGTTATCTTCTTTGAATTGTATGTGTAAAAGAATTGCTTCAAAATTAAGCAACTCTTTCAAAATTATTAAGAACTTACCTCGTATCTGAAGCAACAACACATGCTTGTTAAAATAGTCCGTATGTCTAAAAGTCTTCAACAAAATAAAAACCATAAACTACCAAGAATTCGTATAGAAACACTTAAAAATGACAAAAGGGAAATAATAGTTTGTGGAATTTAAAAAATTGCTAGTGTCGTCATAATTGCGTATTGATAGCGAAAAATTAGCAAAATTCTTAGGTGAAAAATTGTTTGAATTATCAGAAGAATTCTACCAAATTTTAACATGATCTTTTAGCACATTTTTTCTAATTTCACTTCCATTTAGCCCGTTTAGTTTGGTTAAAATTTTGCATGATCCCAACCATTTTTTTTATTTTCTTCTAAGATATTAGGAATTTATTTCTACGTACCACCGATTTGGGATGAGGAGTAAAATGTAAAATCCTGATTTAAATTAATTTATACATATTTTATTTAAATATATGTATATCTACTAGTTTTATATCGCCTTCTATGTATCACATCCCCTCTCATGCCACTATTACGTCATACTCAGACCTCGGATTATTTTAAACTGCTCTAATAACACAAATTAAATATGTGAATTTTTGCAGCTTTCAACACCATTAGTGTATTTTTCTCTTTTTTTTTAATCAGTTTAACTGAAATTCGATCATCTTTGATATTACTTTTAAACAAGTTAACAAAAACAAAAACGAAGGAACCAAACAGCAGAAGTGGAATTCCTGAAGATGAATGTCAAAACCAGGAGAAACACTATTGCTATATAAAATAAGAATTCAAAAAAAAAGATACAGAGTGTATAAATAGCTCCACAACTAACATAAAAATTAAAAAAATATTATAAAATATACTTTTTTATTTATTTATCATATACAAATATCATAATTAATTATTATAATAATAGACAGCGGATGGCTGTCGAGTTAGGCAGGATCAAACTCGGTACGACTCGGGCTGCACTTCGTTTATTTGAGAACAGAATAACGTTACTTCGTTGTACTCTGCTGTTAATTCTCGTTCTCATTTACTTAGCCGTTTTATTAATTACGTTTTCGTTAACTGTATTTATGGAATAAGTGACGATTAAATTCAGTGATTATCACCCGCTACTGAGTACCGGTGATCCAACGCGTCATGATTACATTTGTTCAGACTGGTCAATACCAATGTGTCGGTGTCGGTGTCGGTGTCGCACTCGACATTCTACTCTGGCGCGCGTCGTATACGTGTTCTATAATACGAAAAAAAAAGGAGTTAAAACTCCAATGGCGAAGAACTATTTCTAACCCAAAATTAACAAGAGAAGAAAAGTGTGAAAAAACGCCGGAATAAGAAAAAACGTGTAGGCTAAAATAACAATACCGACACCTTATCAACAGTAAAATTACGTGAAAAGCGCCGGTAATTATCACACATATGACACATATGATAAAAATATGCCAGTACAGTGGCCTCCTTTTACAACAGAAACACATATTCAAACAAAACAACGTATTTTCTGATCCAGCTTCACGTCGTCTCCTCTACACCAGGTTCGTTTAGTACTTCACACGCACATTCTTTGGTTCCACAAACCGCGCACATTTTTTTAACATTTCCAAACAAGAAAAACACCGAAGAATGCGTTTCGTAATACAAAAGAAATTATGCCGACATTAAAATAATACTTACGCATACCTTACTTAACATTTATTGAACCCATAACAACAACATCTGCATGATAATCAAACAAGCCATCATTCTATAAAATAAAGAGTGATGTAAGAAACTCCCAATCCAAAAGACCACAAAGAAAAGAAAAAAAGTGCAAAAATAAACCATTCGAGGTGTCAACTAAAAAAATCGCGAACAAACGAGAAATTCGTGAAGCTTTTAGATCGACAATTTTTTTAAATGACGATTTTGTTGAGAAGGTGATAAATTTTAGTCTAAATCTGTAAACTACAAATACGCGAGCACCCAATCACATACCTTTAAAATAAGATTTTCTGCAAAACATTTGCGATGACGTCATCAATTTTCGAAGGGAATGAAAAAAGAAGTTTTTTTTTGCACTAATCCTGTGAAAACGTGTTTAAATAGACCTAAAACCGCCCAAAGCAAATACCCACTCAAAACCGTCTTTTTCTAGGTGATTCTGGACCACCGAAGGCCGAAACGTCGCTGCGACAACAGTAGAAAGTGATTTGTGTCAATGGTCGCTGCATTCTGATGATATGCTGGGTGCCGAGCAAGCTGGACTGAATGCTGGGCGTCATGCTTTAGCGTGGGTACTAGGTCAAACCGATATATGGTACCTACTGTACCGGTGCGCTAATTATGTTAGTAAGGGGCACGGTCAATCACCCAGCAGCGTATCAATTCTAGACAACCTTTTCACTCTGGACGAAGACCATTTCGACCAGGAAGAAGAGGATTTCAACAGACAGTTCCTGCAAGGAAGAGGTTTGTGTTGCTTCGTTGAAAATGGTATTCCACCGATGTGCAAAAAGCGATAAATATGTATTTCAATGTGTGTCCTTCGATGTAACAGGCGTATTTTGCATATACGTGGGTTTTTTATGCTTGAGGTTTTTATTTTATGAGCGTTTGTTATCTCTGAATTTTTTTAATGTTGGACCTGGTATACGTTTTCGAAAAAATTTAATTTAGTTTAACATGTTTCGGCGGTACTTCAGTAATGCATTTACGAGTGATACGGTTTGCCTTGGCATTGCAGTGTTGCAAAAGATTTCGAAAGGTGTTAAGAAAATGGTATGCACTAGGTGAGTGTCGTAAATAGATTAGGAGCATTGTTAGACGGTTTTTTCTCTGGACAATTTATATTGTAGAAAAACAGTCAGAGAAGAGCAATTTTAAGAATGAAACTATTTTAGCCAAGAGATTCTACTGATCAATATAATAGTTTAAATTTAAATGTAGGCAAATTGTGTCTAGTAATTCATTTGTGTAACTATTGGCACTGTTGCTAACAAAGAAAACAATCGGACTAAATATCTTAGTGAATAAAATATTACAAGTGACTCCGAGTTTACGGTGCTCTCAGTACTAACAGTATCGATTAAATATAATTTCAACAGCACAGGTTGTACGGTGGTAAATATTTTTTTTTTTTGTTTTACAAAAATTTAAATTACAAAACTCTTTCGTAGTCTTAAAAAAAATGATTCTGAAACTTTTATTTTTTAATGGTAACTCTATAAGTTAAAATTAACATAGCTATTTATTGGAAAACTAGCAGGCTAAGCGCATGTTTCAAGTGAGTTTTCCTTAATAACATTTTGTGGTCAATTTTTTTGTGGGGAATTTCAGGACAGGACACTGAGCTAAACCCGTTTGTAAAAAAAATTATCCAACACAATTTTGAGATGACGTCATCGCGTTTTTTATGGGATAAACAAAACAAATTTTGATTAGCGATTTATCATTTACGATAATGTTAAAATGTAAGATTTCAGAACAATCAGTTCTATTGTTTCAAAGTTAAATTGCACTCCTTTTTAATTTAAGTAGCATTTACTTTGTGAAGTTTATTACAGGTTATTATACGAGCATGTTATGCAGGCTTTTTCACAATGATGATGTTTAAATTTAAATCATCCGAGTGAATAACAACCGTAACATGCGAGTGTAATACTATGTTTTATCTACGACCATATATTATATGCATAAGTTTGTTATTCCAAAGCATAAAAAAACTAACATAAATTTTAATTATTTATTATGAGCGCTAGGATAAATTGTTGAAACACTGGGTTATGAGTGTTATGACATGACTTATGGTTGAATTGTGTCCAACCAATCAGAGCTTGGAGCATCTCATAAGTACCCAGATATCAGTTAGGCCTCTCGTACTTTATAACTTTATTTTAAATGAACGATATTAAAAGTGAATAAGTAAACGGTAGTAGATAAAAACATATACTTTTATATTAAAAATATATTACACTGTTGACAGTTCTAGAAAAATAATAATAGTAAAAATAAAACTACCGCTGAACAATAAAGTCAACAAAATTTTGATAAAACTTCTAAAATGCTAGCAAAAAAACTATCTCAGCCTCTACAAAAATTCTTAGTTCTCCATTTCTTCTTTCTGATTACCTCTACACGAAAACTAAAAAATACTCAAAAAATCCAGAAATTATCACTTTCATATTTCATAAATTTTTTAACGTATCGTGATATAGTGATGAGCTCATGGAACATTCCCAAACTGCCAAATACATAATTACAACCGAAATCTCAGGCCTACCGATTTCATGTCCTCTTTGAAAAGTGCGTTTAAGTGTAACCTTCAATAAACCATCAACTCCATGTTTTATTAATTTCGCAGAAACTAAATTAACCTCAAATGTGAAGGCTGCAGCCTTATCAAACACAATTGAATTATCAGTATGCAAACAACCATCGCTGTAACGACAACAAAGTGCACGCCCGTTGCACAAGGAAGGCATTATAAAGCAACCACTATCACCGATGCAATGTCATTACATCTAAACGTATTTACACTTGAACTTCAGGTAAATTACCACACATGCGAAAACATGCACACACAAATAAAACTATACCACTTTCAAAATGTTGCTTGTCAACGTATTCAGTCCTTGGCAAGTGGAATTGAATGCAGCACTAAGTGTGCTAAGTTTTCCAGGTCAGATTTGAAGCACGTGTCGAAATAGTTAATGAAAAGTCGAATCTAGCTAATAATTCGGCGATTTATAAGGAAAATATGGGCTCGTTACGTAACGCCGATTGCCAAACGCCCTGTAATACATATCACATGCGCCGAAAAAAATAACCTTGAACAGTGACAGGAAGTCGTTTTTCTTAAACTAGATTCGGCTTTTTTTGTTGCAAATCGTGCATAAAAGTGTGTTATGAGGCACAAATTGTAAATCATCGGATGACCAAGAAACAAAGTGTGGGTCAGTCCTCTCTACGATCTCTCGTGGATCAGCGGTCCCAATTCATCGCGAGAGTACTATTGAGGGACCCTGATTTACACAATTATATTCAGTTTAGACGAAACTTGCTAAAACCGTAAGTGGACACATAACTGCGTTTAAATTGAGGATTGAGGAAGTCATTTGCATGACTGGGTTCAAGGGTTGTTCACGAAATGCTTTGGAATATAAAGTGTTTTGGATTCATGTATGGTAAATTGTGATACTTTGACTTACACAAAAAGATAATCGTTGAAACATCCGCCATGGAATTACGCACGTTTTGTTTAAAAGCTAAAAAAGTGTGAACACGTAAAGTGTTATTTACACACAAGAAGTCAGATTTAAGAAATAGTGAGATAATATTGAAATTACTTTTGTTTTACTTAGGCTGATCCTGGTATTACTCGGAAACTTTGGGAATGAATGAATACAAATAGGAATGATTTAAATATGCATGATGATCAAGTTCAAACAAAAAACAAAACAGAAGTATAAATATGCATTGCACATTTTATATTACTTGGGAAATTTGCTTTGAAGTTCAATGATTTATCAATCTCCTCTCGGCAAATTCTGTACTAAAATCTAGGACAAGACTTGCTTAGTTCATTTTATCCGCATAATTTTGAACTAGTCTCCATAAAAACGATTAAGCAGCGGAATTTTACCACGGTTTTACAACAAAATATAAGAAATGTCATTAAATGCTGAAACTTCAGATACTTTGCCAATACAGAAATGTTTCCTTCGTGCAAAACGTGCAATAATTATCTTCATTTATAGCGACCTATTTCTTCGGCTTCGCTCTTTGTACCAAAAAAATAAAATAAACACACTTAAACAATCACTTAAAGCAACTACAGTTGCCAATGTTAGTCACAGATTTCGCTAAAGAAGTGTTACACATTAAACACAAGTACAACTTTTATGTGTAAGAGTACACAAAGTAATATTTATAGTTTTATTTCAACCTACACGTATTATTTTGTATGCCTCGTTACCAAAATTTATGAACAACTATAATGAGAACAAAATTTAAGACTACGTGTTGTTGTCTAGAAGTGTACTTACATGACAAATATTTTTGCAATTTTACTCGACTAATTTATTATGTCACGTAATTATGCATCCACTAAATGTATAATATTATTAGAATATGTGAACTTTCTCTTAGACGCCCACGTTAAAGTCTGAAATTTTTGTAAAACAACTAAGTACGACGAAAAATATGTAAACAATTTTTTGCGAATAAAACTGAATATTCCATGTTTCTAAACGATATGCAGCTTAAGTAACTATATTATTCACAACGTAATGGTTCAAGTGGTAAGAATGAATACTTCTAGTAAAATGTACCAGTCACTACCTTCAAAGGCCTTCAACACTATTTTTTTCAAACAATTTTTGGATCAAGCAAATTGGCTCGACAAAATGAGGACCAGATAAGTACGAATATAGGGTAACATAAAAGTTAATCACAATTTGAATAACTAAATAAATATTTGGACTATAAAGTCGTCGACCGCTTGAAACAATATTAAACACAAGTAAATTGTATTAAAAAAAAATGACACAAATCCCGAAAAATCAACACTTAAATGCACTATGCATACACGACTTACATATTTGTCTTTTTGTATAAGTACAAGTAAGGTCAAGGCAGGTCAGTACTTGGCAAGATAAGACTGATTATGGCTAATTACATACCCCTAAGAAAATAGTGGGCGGGTGGGCGGGGCTAGTATTCGCTAAGGTAGAACTGATTTTGGTGAATGACATACCCTCCAAGAAAACAAAGATTAATGGGCGTGGCTTAAACTTGCTAAAATAAGACTCAACAATATAAAAGTAGTCACTGGAGTGAAAAGGGGGTGGGCGGAGCTACTGCTTGCAATTTTTCGTTTGGGTTTTTTATTTTCTTTATTTTTTCAATTTTTCAGTATCATGTTTTTCAAAGTTTTCATTCCTTTAATTTTTCGGTTTTTCGATTTGCCATTTTTTTGTTTCTTCAATTTTTGCGGTATGTAACTCTTACAATTTTCAAAATTGGTCGGGGGTTATTTAGACAGAACTACCCTCGAAGAGCGGCCCAACAAATCCCGCTTTTTTTGAAAAATTTTTCTGTTTTCTATTGCCTTTATTTTTTCAATTATTCGATTTTTCAATCAGTCGTATGGAAGTTAGTAATAAATTTAATGACTGTTGATATGAATTCAGTTTTTTGATTAAAAATTATTAGTTTTTTGTTGGAGACTATTAGTTTATTAACGTGTCTTATTATATATGTGATAAAGGGTATGGGTGTTTCGATGTTTTAATTTTTTGTTTTTTCAATTTTTCCTTTCCTATTTTTTTTAATTAAAAATTTTCCGAGTTTTCAATTTTTTTCAGGTCAGGTCAAGTCAGGTCTAGTCAGTACTTGCTAAGATAAGACTGATTATGGCAAATCACAAACCTTCTAAGAAAATAGAGGGGGGTGGGCGGGGCTAGTATTATTAAGATAAGACTGATTTTGGTAAATGACTGGACAATATTAAGAATGATCACTAGAATGGAGAGGGTGTGAGTGGTCATGGCTATTGCTTGTAAGAATATACAAGTGATCATAAAAGATTTATACATCAAATTGACTTTGAAATTTCGTGATTTTGTCGCTTCGTTGTATTGATTGATAACTAACCGTCGTCGCCTTGCTTTCAATGTTCAGCTTTTTTAGTATGTTGCCTGGTAGATAGGCAATTAATAATTCAAGTCAAATAACACCTCACGAAACCAATAACTTCTTATTAAAAATTGGTCTAAAGAGTTTGGACAGTACTTCCCTCGCTGTCAGAAACGTGACAACTGCACGCCTATTTTTTTTTTCGCAGTAGATTTCTAAGCATTCGGTTTTGTAGTTCCTGAGTAAATCAATAAAATAAATTTACGCATTCATTATCTTTTTTGAGTCACCCGGTATATGCAAATTCAAAAAATATGAATGAGAAGATAAATTACAAATACAGAGTCATCATATCTTGTACATTCTAGATATGATTTATTCCGCAAACTTTTGAGCTGACGTTATCAATTTTTTGGAGAAGATAACCAAATATATTTTGACTAAAAATTTATTATGCTCTTTATAACCTCAAAACATCTGCAAGATTTCAAAACATTCGGTTCTGTAGTTCCTGATTAAATCAATGAGATACATTTAAGCATTCATTTTTTTTTTGGGTCACCCTGTATATGCAAATCGAAAAAATATGAACGGAATGATAAATCACAAGAAGAGACTCATAATATTTTGTACATTTTAGATAGGATTTATTCAGCGAAATTTTGTGGTGACGTCATAATTTTTTAGGAGGGATGAGTAAATACATTCTGATCAAAAACTTACCATGCTTATGATAACTTTAAAACATCTTCAAGATTTCAAAGCATTCAGTTTTGTAGTTCCTGAGTAAATCAATAAAATAAATTTACACATTCATTAATTTTTTTGAGTCACCCTGTATATGCAAATCCAAAAAATATGAATGGAGTGATAAATCACAAGCACAGACTCATCATATTTTGTAGAGTTTAGATAGGATTTATTCGGCAAACTTTCGACCTGACGTCATCAATTTTTTGGAGGGGATAAGCAAGTGTATTTTGACAAGCAAGTGTATTTTGACTAAACATTTATTATGCTCTTTATAACCATCTGCAAGATTTCAAAGCATTCGGTTTTGTAGTTTCTGAGTAAATTAGTAAAATAAATTTACACATTCATATTTTTTTTGAGTCACCCTGTATATGCAAATCCAAAAAATATGAATGGAGTGATAGATCACAAGTACAGACTCATCATATTTTGTACATTTTAGATCGGATTTATTCGGCAAACTTTTGAGCTGACGTCATCAAGTTTTTAGAGGGGATAACCAAATATATTTTGACTAAAGATTTATGATGCTGTTTACAGCCTTAAAACATCTGCAACATTTCAAAGCATTCGCGTTAGCAGATTTAAAATTAAATTGCAAAATGTTGTTTTATAATTTTGATTTTTTTTCCAAAAATCTGGAAGTTTCGGGTAAAAACTGAATTCGGAGTCGTAAACTACATGTGTAGGACTATGTTATTTTATACAATTTAAAACCCATTTACTATGCACAATTTTGAAGTGACGTCATCGCATTAGTGGTGGGGATGATTAGACAAATTTTGGTTAGCGTTTTACCATCTACATGATATTCCTAATATAAGTACAAAATTTCACAACAATCGGTCCAGTACTTTCAGAGATTATCTGTCTAATAAAAATCCGGGACGGCAGACAGACGGACAGACGGACAGACAGACGGAAATGGGAGACCTATTTCTTCGTCTTCTAGGGGTCATGAAAGATCGAGAAAACGTAAAAGTAGAGAGTCGGCCGACGGATTCGATTACAATACTTCCTTTGCTTACGCTCGGGAAGTAAAAATGATGTGACATATTTTTTTTATAATTACTCTATATATACTTACTTTCGTATTCTTTAGTATACATTAAATTTTGCCACTTGCGCAATAGTCATCCTTGAAATAAATGATCAAATTTTCTAAAAATTTTTACAAAAGTTGCCTAAGATTTTAAAAATTTAAAACTGAAAAATCATTAATGACATTTTTTATTTGACAGTACAACACCGAAACTAAAGCTAATTTGTTAATTTTGCACAAGGCTTAAAACAAAAAACAAAAATTTATTTTTCAGGTTTTTAATTTTTCGAGCAATCGCAGATCTAGTGGTAATGCTGACAGTCAATGACTGGTTCTAGTTTAATGCTCCTTTGGCTGTGAACGAACCAGAATTAAAACTAGACTATCAATTCAGAAAAAAAAACTAGTACTAAAACTAAAAACACAAAATTTCAAAATCAACAGAATATTTATTAGTCAATAATAATCCCTAAAACTTCCCTCAATAAATCTCGCTACTTTGAAAAATTATAAAATCAGATATTTTGCGATGTTTGTTTTGTGATACCCTCTATACAGTAAAAACCAACGGCATAAAAACAACCCCGCAGAAAATTACAAGGGTTTGTGGAAATTGCACGAGTACGGACAACGTAAAATATATTTACAGCAGATAATCAGAGGGGAAAAATGGCCTCTCAGCAATAATGTCACGTCGAAAGCTGTTTGAAAACATAAAAATGGCCACCCGTCCGATGGATTCGATTACTATGTTTCCTTAGCTTATGTTCAGAAAATAATAATCTAATAATAATGTAATAAAGAAATATTGGCAAAATTGGCAAAGTTACAACATTATTCAAAATATATGAAAAGATTTGGTTATCATAGTAACAATCAGTGTGTAAATTGCACAATGCACACATTTAGAATTATATTATTATCGAAATTATCGAATCTCTATCGAAGTTCGATTCAAAGTTCTTATCTCTTGGCTTATCTTTAATGTTCGGTGTAAATTAAAACTCATTACAGTTCACGTTATATTTGAGCTTCCCAAAGTGTTCATATAGTAGTTTAACGTAAAATTGTAAGTACGTTTAAAGATCATCGTAATTTACATTACGCGATAAATTTAAAATGTAGTTCAAAGAATTTCCTTGACTCAAAACGCGCACTCTATTTCACTCAAAAATATTTATTTGTTACACATGCAATTAACAAACTGATAGACAACCTGTGGCAGCTATCAATATGTTTGCGATGTAGGGTATCAATTTGTAGACATTTTTCTACGATGTACAAAAGCATTAAGTCGCAGACAAAACTTAGCGACAGTGGCTAACATTTAATTTCCCAAAATTTTGAAACTTCAATAGTATAGAAAACAACGACAAATTACTACAATCAATTGCCAAAATAGAATGAAATGACACAGGGTCAGATGCAAGCAAGTATATATATGCAAAATTGACCCCAAAATATGAAAATAATAAAAAGTTAGGTATGACAAGCGTTATATTTCTCCAAAATCACTAAAGATGTAATATAAAATAAATAACATAAATTGTTATATTTTGCGTACACATAATCAAGTCCACAAGCAGTTAATAAAAGCGGAAGAGTTCATTGAATGTAATGAAATTAACAATATTATTTTCCATTAGTAATTAACACCATACTGTATTCGATTATGCGTGAATGAACAACTTTCACGAATCGTTTTAAAAAAGTAACATTAATTATACTTTTAAATAATACAAAAAATTAAAATCATTAAAATTATAATACCAAATTGATTATTTAAGATATAACTTCCTGAAAGAATACATTTGTTCAGTCATCTGTCATCAGTCATATAGTTAGTGTCCCCTTTACTTGAATTTCTAAAGGAAATAGTTCAGTTATTATTTTTGACTATTGGTTGTATGTATTAATTAATATCCTTATGTTTGTAGCTGAGTAGAATTGGGAAATTTAGACGCTTCAAACTTAATGTCATCAAGTGTGTTCGATACACTATGATTTGATGCGATTCTCTTAACATATAAGTGCCATTACGGTATTTATCTTAATTATGGTCAAACCCACGTCTCGTGAGTTCAATTTAAAATTTACAAATGTCCTGAAAATGTAGACGCAAATGACGTTTCTTGGTTACTAAGTTTTGTTTACGATTTTAAATTATTTGGACGGGCGTTTTGTTAGTTCACCCTGTAGATATGAGGTATATTACTTTTGAACTGTGGTGGAAAACCCTTTCCTCGTTTATTAAATAAAACATCTCTATTTTCACGTGCCGCGTATTCATAAAATCAACAACGTACCCACACTTCCCGTCCATAAATCAGCACGCAAATAAATAAACAACTTATAAACAAATTAAAATAACAATGAATACTTTAGCCTCAAACCTTGGCGGAAATCAGCGCTCTCGTATCGACCGATTTGAGTCTGCGCGTCAAAACAGAGACCCGTTATTGACTGGAAAGAGATCACAGGCGGCTGTGCGCGCGAAGTGGGGCGAAAACTCATCGCAAACGTACAAGATGGCGGCTGACGTTTAGTCGTTTTCTATTGTTGTTGTCTGTTGTTGTTATTGTTAAAAATCACGCGTAACAATGGCGATGTCTAATTTATATTCAAAAATTGCCCCCAAACCCGTGAAGAGGGCACAAGACAACCTATCGGTCTCTCAAACCAACGCCTGGATGATGAACGGTGAGTGCACCAGGCCTTGGGCGTAGCAACCCAAATCGCCTCAAAATCCGACCCGTGGCCCGCACACGACTTCCTTCACCATTCCAACCGCCACGCCGTGCGTCACAGCACCATTCACACACCCTCCCACTCTGTTCGAACAGGCTATCCGACAGCCACCCACATCCCCCAAGTATGGTCCCAGCCGCCTCTCTAACCGCTCGTTCTCTCCGCAGCAGAAACCCTCAACAATGGGGCCCTCAGCCTGTCGCCCCCGCACATCATCTCCCAGCGCGAGAACCTGCAGGTGATGCAACCCGCCAGCGCCCCTGGCTCGCCTCCCTCAAGTCCCTGTGTATCGCCCGTGGGCCCCCCGGGCACCCTCGACCCCAACTGGCAGGCATCCAAGCCCACAGTCCGCGAACGCAACGCAGCCATGTTCAACAACGACCTGATGGCCGACGTGCGGTTCATCGTCGGCAGCCCCGGCTCGACCCAGGACATCCCCGCACATAAGTACGTCCTCGCCACGGGCAGCTCCGTCTTCTACGCAATGTTCTACGGGGGGCTCGCAGAGTGCAAGGAAGAAATCGAGGTACCTGATGTCGAACCGTCTGCGTTTCTTACGTTACTCAAGTAAGGGCTCTGGGTGTGGCGGGGTGGGCGGGGGGGAGTCGTGGGAAAGGGGTTTTGACGGCAGGATGGGTAGAGAATGTGAAAGGATGTCGCCGGTTGCGATGACCTCATGGGTTTGCGTAATTATGCAAAGTGGGTTAGTAGACAGGCGAGGGGGATTGTGCCTTTACGGGTTGGGGTGCGCTTAGAAGTGACTTAAGTCTGAGCTGCTCGTGACGTTGCAAGGTCACGCGTATTGCCTTTCATGGACTTTAGAACAGGAAACTAAAAGAAAAAATTGATTACAAACTTGGGTAACAATCAGGACATGTTATGACCCCAAATTATTAGAATTTCGTACTAATAACCAAGTTTAAACGTTGGTTTTGGTAGTTATAAAATGCATTGGCAGTTGTCAGTATCAAAAATAACTAAGTCTGTGTCTACCACAACACCATAAATGTCACTTCAATGGAAGAATTTGTTTTATAAATATACAAAGTCACAATGAGTGCCAGATCTTTTTTGTAAACTGATTGCTACTGCTTCTGATCTAGAATGTGCAGGTAATGTTTTTAAACTTATTGCGAATACCGTATTTCCTCAGCCATAAATATCGTTTAAAACTAGTATGTAAATATGTAGGACCAAAGTTTGGTTAAGTTATTTTTTGTTTTCTGCAGCCAGTATTCAAATTCAATTAATTCGATTGAGTCTACGTCAGCAACATTTCCATACACATCGGAACGCATTTACGTATTAAAAAATTAAATTTTTGAAACGAAGTCACCAAGTTTTTAGAGATAAATAAACTTTAGTCAAGCACGTTAGGTATATATATAACTTCTAATACCAAATGTAAAATTTCGTCCTACAGTAATCCCTATGTTGAGATTTATTGAAAGTAATTTTGAGATAACGCCATCAAGTTTTTTACATTTTTACGTTTTACCATCTACACAAAGATGTTAAAATATCTACAATTTTAGAATCAACAATTTCGTAGCCTAAATTAAATCGTAAAAAATGCAGCGTTTTGATAATTTCACGATAAAACAATAGATGCCATATTTTGATTTTGTTATAATTATCACTGACAGGAAGATATAAAAAATACATAAAATAAAATACAATGGAGATATTAAAAATTAATATTTAATCTAGATTTATGATAATTAAAAATGTAAGAATTAAAAACACCATGAAAATTTAAAGGACATCCTGAGAACTTAAAACGACGATAAGGCAATATAAATAATATCATGAAAACTATTATTCAAAAATATGCAATCACAAAATTTAAAATCCGAGTGCATTGTTTTTTAATTCTTTGTAAGGTAACTCATACATGAAAAAGGTATTATGTGTAGTCATATATAACTAAAAATAATTTGAATATAGTAAACAAAGATTTTTATCTTTCTACCGTATACACTTTAAAAATCGCTGGAGCTAAACTATAATGAGGTATTGTGCACTTAAAGATTGCATCATCGTAAAATGTGATACAAACGTAAAAAAAGCACAATCAAAATCTTTGTGTTATATTCTAGCTTATAACTTAGCCGTCAAATTTTCCGTCCACGACTTCTCGATCTGCTCGCCTCCGCCTATCGACCGACTCTAACCGTCTTTTTTTTTCGCAGATACCTGTACTGTGATGAAATCCAACTCGAAGCGGACACGGTTCTAGCGACTTTGTACGTCGCGAAAAAGTACATAGTGCCCCATCTGGCACGCGCCTGCGTCAACTATCTCGAAACGAGCCTGACGGCAAAGAACGCCTGTCTCTTGCTCAGCCAATCGCGTCTCTTCGAAGAGCCCGAGCTGATGCAAAGATGCTGGGAAGTGATAGACGCACAGGTGAGTAGTCTGACACATTCCCTGTCATGCCTCGACCTCAGCAAAGTTCCCGACAAATGCAAACAGACGCAAAAGAGGCACATGAGTTTCAGTGCCTGCATGCGCTCGAGAATTCCGTAAGTCTCTAGCAGAGCGAACATATGATAATTGGTGTTAAATTAGTACACAAAATGCTAAAACTGCCATGTTTTGATAATTGAATTCTTTTCGATTATGGTTCATTCAAGGCTGATCTATGTCTAGTCAAAGTCGATCCACAAATGTACATGTGATGAGAAATGTGACGATGCTCAAGTTTTTTATACACATATCTTAAGTTTAATTTTAAGTAGGGGTTTGAGTAAACGGCCAACTTAGCAGGTGTGCGAGTGCGAGTTTGTCGGTTACTGCTTATTTTATAATCTCACTGTGTTTTTAATCCACATATTTACAGCATTGATGTTTTTATCGAAAACAATGTAACTAAATGTATGTACCATTGTGTTGTTAATATATGGATTATAAAAACATCGAGGCCATTCTTTCTGAGTTATTTACCACCTATGCCCTTCGACTTCCTTTGACGTTATGCAGGAAATGTGCAGGAATGGAGGACTTTTCCATTCCAACCGGAATCGTTTACATAGATTAGACCTTAAAGAAATGAACCAAATGGTAATATCTGCTAAGATTATAATTAATGTTTAGTTAATTATTACTGTTAAGCGATCGGGATTTATTTCTCTCCACTACCAAGCTTGATATAAAAGGGCATATCAATTGACCTCTATGTTGTTGAGTTCATTTTGTGAATCTTTACGTTACATGTGTACATCGTATAATGGCGGTACGCCACTGGATTTTGATATGTTTGTACGCCTAACAGTCTTAATATGTTGTGAAGGACCAAAACAGTAATACTGAAAAAAATTAAGAAATAAATTTTCAAATTTACAACTTTGATTTACCCCATAAAGAGTCCAGAACTTGTATTTGAATTTCAAAACTATTTATTTATTATTTCAGGCCGAGATGGCCCTAAAGTCCGAGGGCTTCGTCGACATTGACATGTCGACCCTCGAGTCGGTCCTCGGTCGCGAGACTCTCAACTGCAAGGAGATGAACCTCCTCGAAGCCGCCCTCAACTGGGCGGGCGCCGAGTGCGCCCGCCAAGACATCGACCCCACCCCCCAAAACAAGCGCTCCGTCTTGGGCAGCGCCCTCTATCTGATCCGCATCCCCACAATGACCCTCGACGAGTTCGCGAACGGGGCCGCGCAAATGGGCATCCTCACCCAGCAGGAGACCATCGACATATTTTTTCACTTCACCGCCAACAACAAACCGGCCCTGCAGTACCCGATCAAGCCGCGGGCCGGCCTCAAGTCTCAGGTACGAAAGGCATTGTCAAGCGTGTCATGTTTTGCGAGCGTTGTGTTTGATTTCAGGTCTGCCACCGGTTCCAGTCGTGCGCCTACCGGTCGAACCAGTGGCGGTACCGGGGGCGGTGTGACAGCATACAGTTTTCGGTGGACCGACGGATATTCGTGGTGGGGTTCGGGCTGTACGGGTCGTCGAACGGGGCCGCGGACTACAGTGTGAAGATCGAGCTGAAGCGGCTGGGGCGGGTGCTGGCCGAGAACAACACCCAGTTCTTCTCGGACGGGTCGAGCAACACGTTTCACGTTTACTTTGACAATCCGATTCAGATCGAGCCGGAGAGTTTCTACACGGCGTCGGCCATTTTGGACGGGGGCGAGCTGAGCTACTTCGGGCAGGAGGGCATGAGTGAGGTGACGGTCGGGCAGGTGACATTTCAGTTTCAATGTTCCTCGGAAAGTACAAACGGAACGGGAGTACAAGGAGGTCAAATTCCGGAACTTATATTTTACGGACCGTCTTACGAAGAACATTAGGCGGTCGTGTCTGTTTTACGTTCGCTCGTTATGTGAGATGTTCACTTTCTGTTTGTTTAAAGTGCTGTGAATTAAGGGACTTTTATTTATGTTTAGTTTAAGGTGATTTTTTTTTTACGTTTTATAACTGTAACCAAACTGGATATCTCCAAAAGATGTTGTGTTCACATGATGACAAATTGTAAATATCTTGTTTAAAACTATGATAAAATTATATATTCCCATGAAGCTTAATCATTAGATATTTTTCGAAACGTCTTACAGATTTATGCCTGTAATTAAACTGTTAAAGTGATAACGTGTACTGGTTATTACATTTAAGGTTAGGTTAAGACTAAATTCAGTTTGTTGTATAGTGCTTAGGGTGCTGTATGACGCCGCTGAGTCCATGGATTAACCGAACAGGGTTTGATGAATACAGACGTGTAAACATAACATAGCTTAGGCTTTTCTTTACTGTTTTGTTATATGATGATATTTTCAGAGTAACTATTAGCATAGCAATATTTATAAGGGCAAATTTTTGCTTACATTGCCATGATATTCGTTACTACTTATGTGATACAGAAACTAATTTGATAAATATATATCTTGGTAGTTTGGAGCGATTTTTATTCCTATTTTATTTTATTTTTTTGTTTAATTAAAAAATGGAACTACATACTGACAGGTACTACATTGACCCTAGATGGGACCATATAATACCAATAACAACAATACCGCATTCGCAAAATGAAGCGAGTCTTTTTTTTTTAATTTAATCAGTAAAATAAATTATTTCATTAATTTGCATATTGTAGCTAGAATGTAACATTTCTTTACTTCGCAAAAGCTTAAAATTACATCAACAAAATGTTTAGGGGATGATAAGACAAATTTTGATTCCTGTTTTGCCATCCACACGAAATTCCTAACATACAATTAAAATTTCACAATTAGTCGAATAGTTTTGGAGATTTATGTGTCTACTAAAATCAACACACGGAAACGAGAGACCTACTTTTTCATACCATTGGGGTTATGAAATATCAAAAAAACATGAAATCAACCGTTCGTCGGATAAACTGTATCACAATACGTCCCTAGCGTAGTATATGTATATATTATTACCATTACAAGATACAATGTATGTATAACGTGTTACCACGTTGTACTAAATATAAAAAAAAATATATATATTTTTACAAGAACAGGTGTAGGAACATTTTAATTACGAAGAATTATATCGCACCAAACATTGTTACAATGAAAAATATTTGAAAAAGTAGGATTAATCTACTTCTTAAAAAAAATTGAAAAAAATCTAATTAACTTCACGTTTCCGTGTCAAATTTTCCATGCATTCCTTTTACACTTAGTACATAGAATCAAAACACGATCCGGTTTCGCGTATTTTTTATGCAAAATGTAATGATTCCAAGGTTAAAATGCGTACAAAAAATTTACATTTCTAATAAAACAAAAATATATCGTCAATTTTCCTTCCAAAAAACTAAAGATATCCTGTCAGTGAGGCACTTCAAGACTGTTCATGAGATCTGGAACTATAATGATAACACTTCCGAGTTAATCATCATCTCGGAGGTGGTTCGAATGGAGATAGTTAGAAGAGAGATGGGGGCCCTTAGCTTATTTATGATTATTTATTTATTAAGATGACGTACTGCTTCACTACTCAATAATATCAACTTTTAAGTCATTAGAATTTCTGTTCATCAAAAAATGTTTTAAAATTATGTATCATTGCAATAAGAATCCATAAAATACAAAACAGGTGGATTTATTTAGGAACTATATTTAAGTAATTAATCTTTATTACATTATGATTATGTGGTTTCCTACACAATCCCGCCAATTGTATTATACTGTGTAGAACCAACTCTTTTATTATTTTTCCACATCTTAAGACTGATAAGTGTGACTGTGAAACTTAAAATTTTAATTTTGTGTTATTTTCTTCTCAACAAGGAGACGAAAAATTGTGTATTTATTTATTAAGCAAATTTTGCGCTTTCTCTGTCAGGGCATTTGATCTTTTGTGTACTAATCAAACTAAATTAAGAATTTCTAGTTTCGTCGTATTCGTTGTGATTTTAAAATTATCAAAAGTGTAAATTCCTGTTTATTAATAAGATCAATTTCAGGTCAGCGTGGACTATTTTAATTTTCAAAATTTAATAAATGTGTGGTTATTTAAAAGTTCGAGAATTAGTAAATTAAAATTATAATTTATCTCCCCTAATAAACAAAAATAGAGATACTTTAAAATGACTCCATTGCACTACTTCCCGAATCTAGGGTCCGCAAGTAAAAAAAGTAAACAAAAAAATCATAATTGGAAAACTACTTACCAACGGCCGGTATGTTGATGGACAACGCTTGCGACAACTTCAGGTAGGTCCTCCCCAGCTCGTAGCAACAAATTTGCAGAACGTCGCTAATATCAATTAACAAATCTACACAAGATTAAGGAAAAATGTCACAAAATTTGTCTAGTGAAAAACTCATTAAAGTGGAAAACTTAACATTGTTTTTCCTCTTTCGACGGAAATACTCAAAGTTTCTTGACGGTGCTTCTCTCATGTACAATATTTATGAATCTGTATCATAACCAAAAATATTTTTATGTTCTTTTATGAGAATTTTCTAAGTTAATGTCACTTATTGCTGCTAGAAAGATAATGTAGAAAACATTAAATGTTGTGAAAGTTTTTATTTTGGAACCGTTTTAATCTTTTAGAACGTGAAGATTTTCTCCATCCAAAAGACTTTAATAAATATTTGAGCATAACCTAGCGTTTTAATTCATTGATTACAGATACATCTGGAAAACTGAATAACGGGTGTTTGATATGCTCAGGTCGCAAGTTCGTATATAACAGTGTGATCAACGTAAAGTATTTTTTTACAAATGTTTAAGAAGAACAAAATCTATGTTTAACCAATGGTTGGAAGTAATCTGATTACAAGTATTTCATTACTGTAATTCAATTCTTTTTCAAGTAATGAGTAATTAATTGTAATGCATTACTTTTTAACAGTGCTTGTTCCAATCACTGTGTTTAATTTACATTACATATCTGCATTCAATTTAATCAGCACTTCAGGCGAAGTACAAGTTTGTATTTCAGATAGTGAGTTGGAGAATTCCTTCTATTAATCTTGCATTTTATTTTTTAAATAAAGTATTATCCAAAGTGCTTTTGTATATTTTTCTGCGAAGGAATTTTCAATTATCTTTTCGCCTCATGACATTCTGAATATAATGTAGTAGTTTTTATTTTGTTTATAAATACATATTTTGTAAATACATCCACATTTCAAAATAAATAAATATGCCCCCCTAACCTTATATGGCGTGGAAAATTTTTTTTCAAAATATAACAGGACAATTTTGTACATAGCGTGTCTTTTTTTTTTTTCAAAAATTATAAATCATTTGTACATGCTAGCTTCTTTATACATATTTTTTATTGTTGTAAACATGCTTCAGTGCCATTTCTTAGTTTTACCCCAAAAATTCTGATATTTTCCCCATTTATTAAGTGTATATGTGGACATTTTTAGTACATGTAAACACGGCCAACTGTATTAATATATATGCCCATCCCAATTCGTATAAAAAGTTGATTCTTTGACGTTTCCAAAATCGTTGATCAGGCAACTACATCTGTTGAGTACAGTTATGAACTTGGTTGGCAAATAATTGTCAAAATGACGTTTTAAAATATCACGTTTTTTTGAAAGTGTAGATAATGGCACAGAATAACTTACAGCTTCATTGTCCGCTTAAACTACAAAAGCAAAAGGCCCCAGACATACTAAATAGAATTTGAAATTAGTTTAATTACGAAGTAAATTGAGGTTTAGTACGCTTAATCGTACCCTACGGCGGCTACAAAATTTGTTTAACAAATATGGCATGAAATAGGAACGTCCAAGTCCGGCACTTGACTAATCTGACTGGAATTTTGAAAAATAATATTAATTTCAGAAACTAAATAAAAAATTAAATAACCTTCTGCAATGTTTAGCAAGTTAGCAGAGATCAAAATTAACGAATCATTATGAATATCACAGTTATTAGAAATACAATTAAATAAAGCGCACATTAAATGAATTTTCCTTTGAATAAAGCTCCACAATTTTTTGGAATCAACACAAATGGATTGTTCTAAGTCGGATAAGAGTGAGTAATGGCATATCCTCTAAGAAAATATTGGGTAGAGGATATATCCATTTGGCAAAATCAGTCTCATCTTGGCAAGTACTGGCCCCGCCCACCCGCCCGTTATTTTTTTCGAAGGTATGACATCTGGAAATATCAGTTTTATCTTAGCAAGTACTAGCCCCGCCCACCCACCCTTTATTTTCTTAGAGACTAGGTCATCTGCCAAAATCAGTCTTAATTTGGCGAGTACTAACCCCGCCCACCCGCCCTTTATTTTCTTAAGGCTATGTTATTTGTCAATATCAGTCTTATCTTGGCATGTACTAGTTTTTCATAAAATAAGACAGATTTTGGCACTTTTGACATTTTCGACCATTTTTCAAGGGGGGGTGGACGGGGATAGTACTTGCTAAGATAAGACTGATTTTGGCAAATCACATACTTTCCAAGAAAGGAGAGGGTGGGTGGGCGGGGCTAGTATTTGATAAGACAATACTGATTTTGGCACTTTTGACATCTTCGACAAGAAAGTAATTTGTGTTTTTTTATATATTCACAGAAATGTTTAAAATTTATGTATTTCAGACAATAGAGAAGTCAAAAGAGGTTAGGTCACGTTAGGTCAAGTCAGATCAGGTGCATGACATAAGAAATAAATTTTATAGCAAATAGTATAACAAAAAAAAATACTATTAAGGCTTTTTTTCACGTCCTAGATTCTATTATATGTCACACCCACTCGACAGAAGAATATTTTGATTTTTTTTCTTAATATACATAATATTCTTTGAACAACACGAAACTCAAAAACATGTTTTTAATTTCTTGTAAATAACAGTATTTTGCAGTTAAGCTCCGCCCCCTTGGTTCACGGCGAATAAAAAAAGTCATCACAATTGAGATCGGGCGGGTGGGCGGGCTTACATTTTGCCTTTTTGTTTTAATATGTGTAGACTTCTTTTCACAACATGAAACTTAAAAAATGTTTAAAATGGAAAATTTGTATAAGGAAATATCAATTTTGTAATTAGGCTCCGTCCCATAATTGTAAAATCCATATTTTAAGCATATTCTAAATTTCTTGTTATGAGAAGATTGCTATGTATGTTAAGAATGATTTTTTTTTATTCGTCGTAAACCGAGGGATGGAGCTGAATTGTAAAATCCTTATTTTTCTACGAGAAATTACCATGTGAAATATGTTCTTAAGTAATCGCGTTATACAAAGAAAAGTAAATGTATCAATTAAAAAAGAAAACCCAAATGAGAAGCCCCACCCTGCCGTCTCGATCTCAATCGTGCTTGATTTTTCATTCGTTGTCAAATCGAGGGGCGGAGCCTAATTGCAAAATCGATATTCCCCTATACAAATTTACCATTTTAAACATGTTTTAAGTTTCTTGTTGTGAAAAGATGACTACACATATTAAGAAAAAAACGTCAAAATATAAGCCCCGCCCACCCACCCTGTCTCAATTGTGGTGATTTTTTTATTCGTCGTGAGCCAAGGAGGCGGCGCTTAACTGCAAAATTCTTATTTCTCCAGAGGAAAAAAAAAACACTTCTTTGAGTGTCGTGTTGATCAAAGATACTATGTATATTAAGAAAAAACAAGCCAAAATTTAAGTGTAAATTTTTAATCAACATGTATCTTTTTATTTATTAATGACGTCACCTCAAAATTTTGCCTAATAAATACTATCTAAAATGTGCAAAATCTGATGAGTCTATCATGTAATTTATCAAGCTTTCATATTCATAGTGAGTCAATTTATTTTATTGATTAAATCAGGAACGACTTACTCCATTTTCCAGAAAATTTGGGAATACACAAAATTGTGTTAGGAAAGTTTTGTCTAAATAACGACACATTTTTCGCAAAATTCGGAGTCTGAGTGACAAATAAGACTGGAAATTGAAGAACTAAATATCATTTTTGGGTATTTGTCCGCGTGTGACGTCACTTGACAGTAAAATAATCGAATTGCATTCTTGGGAGTTATTTCAGTTACGTGAAACAATCTCCAACTTTTTATACGAATTGGGATGGCCATATGTATTAATACAGTTGGCCGTGATGTAAATCCGGTTTCTAATGATAACAACGACATGGAGACATTTTTATTAATTGCAGTTGATTATTATATCTGGTATCTCTAAATGTTTGTCATTGGAAACAAGCTATTTTTGTCAAAACTGATAACAAAATGATCGGGAGTATTACAAATTACAAAAATTGTTGAATTGTTTCAAAGGTTTCATTGTTATTTCCACTATACCTTCGTGCACCGTTATATTAAAAGCTACGCACAAAACGCCAACATCTTTTTGTACCAACATAAAAGACCGCATGCAGTTATAACAATGAAATGACAGTTGGTTAATTTTATATTTCCCGCTTAATTTTCTAACGACCCGACTTTCTACGTCATCAAAAATGGCCGCTCAAGGTCACAAAGCGCCTAAACCTCTGATTCATCCTAACCTGGATCGCCCTTTAACATTTCACTTAATTTTAAAAATCATTGAAAAGGATACGTGCAGTCCCCTCTGTCCGACAGGTCAGATACACACACGCCGCATGCACGTGCGTGTTCTTTCGCCCCTTCGTCAAATTCCTGTTCAAAGCCATCTTAAAAAAATTACAAGCCGTATCAATGCAGTGCTGGTTCAACTGCAACTGGTTGCACAAGTGCGTGATCCCGTTCCTCGCCTTCCTCATCGTCATCTCCCTGGACTCCACCCCGGTGCCGACATGGAAGGCTGCAACAACACGCGGTCAACAAGCCACCAAATCTGCATCGATGCACTCACAAGCTCCGAACTTGGTGGCACCCCCTTTGGAGTCCGCCGAGACGAACTGGCCAATCGCGCTGCTCGTGCCATGAGCCCCTTCCTCGAACTGCACCTCCGCGACGATGATGTTGACTTCCAGCACGGAGCCGCAATTTGTGCAGACGGCATCCCCCCGAGCGGGGTCCACCTCGATGTCCGAACTACCACAACTTTTGCACTTCCGCGTTGACGACATCGCGACGCGCTGTTACTACGGAAAAGGCCCGACGATCCGTAATAGTGCGTTACGGGGGCTGAGCTCGCAACCCGCTGTGTTTACTTTGGGTTAAAGTTCCACAACATAACCTCAACACTCACATTGGTGGTCGGTGGGAGCTGTCAGCGGCGGTCAAGGTTGGAAAGTCATGTGACCGGATTGGCGGTGCGTGGTTGGAGGATGGAGTGACAGAGAAAGTGAATATTGTGTAGTTGCGATTCACGTGGCAGAGGTCGCACCATGAAAAGATTTTTAGATTTGATTTTTAAAGATTCGCGAGCATTAGATCTTCAGTTGTAAAATATGTCCAAAGATACTTGATCCACAGTAAATACCGTTTAGATTCAGCTCAAATCTTCAATATGTCTGCAATAAACCGCTAAAATTTAATCAATGACAGCTGACAACGCAGAAATGTCAATTATATACAACAGTATGGATCAATAAAACACATGCGTATTTCCATTTTTGATTTTCACTTTCTGCTTATTTAATACAGATAATTTAAACTGCGGGACGGTGGGTATTCACCTGTTGGTAATTTTGTCATTTTTCAAACTCAATTTTTCCCACCAAGTCACCAACATCTGCGCATTAAAAACCCTAAGCAAAACTAGAACAACAAGTGTCAAAATCAGCTGTTTTCTCATAATAGTAGTGACGCGAGTGAACGATAAATCAGACGCCCAACACAACACGTAATTAATGACTAAAGTCGCACCCCGCCACCAAAAATAACCCCTTTTCATGGTAAGCCCAACTGCCATCACATCCACAAATTGAGGTTATGTCACTTCAAAACATCAATTTTTTGTGACATTTTTTTTCCAGAAAACTACACAATGGATCCGCTCGTATCAAGCCTAGATAAACTCCTCAAGTGCAAAAACGAGGATCCGGCCCGTTTTTACACGTACTTAAGCGATTACACTTTAACTGAGCATGACGAAAAACACTTCATTGAGAGTTTCATTCCCAAGGTGTATTATCTGTATGACAAGAAAGTCCTGCGGAAGGACCTCGTCTACTTGTCGTTATTGGCTGGCGAGAACCACCATGTTCTAGAAAAATTCATCGAATACGATAAATCAATTTTTGTTTTAAATATTGACGATCCAGTTTCACTTTTTGATTACTATGTTTATGAGAAAAAACACTGGGTTTACGAGATCGTGAATAATCCCAGCGGGTTCGATAAACTCATTCCGTTGAAAACGATATACAATAAGCTGAAAATGATCAAGTTTATTTATGAGACGAACTTCCCAGAAGTGGACATTGAATATTTACACAGTCTATCAGCGCAGATCGACGTGGAAGTTTTAGACGATTTCTGGAAATTTTACGTAGATGAGATAATTAAATTTATTGAAGTTGTGAGATTTTGTAAACCGTTGCTTAAGCGTGAGGTTAGTGACTCCGAATTGTTTGCTTTTGGTAGCAGCAACGCTTTATTGGACACGCTGTCGAGATTTGTTGATTTGGGGGACCCGGCACGGTGGGACACTATTTTAAACAGACTCAAACTCAACACCAATGAGGACGAATTGAATGTTTTTACAGGATTTATGATCATAGCAACTTTGATCAGACTACTACTACAAGAAAACTACAACACCAACAATCAAAAGAAAGATTTCGTGAATTCGGTTTTCGAAGATGTGAAAACGTGGCTTTTATCGCTACAAAACAAGCAACTCCAAGTGGAACTTCTTGAGAACGTGTTCTCTTTGCTGTTTCACCGAAGCCGCAACGAATTCACGTGCAAAGAAAAAGAAATTCGCTTCATTCTTTTCCTCCTAAAGTCGGTGATTGAAGAACTCCAACTGAAGAAAACCCACGAAAAAACTTCCCCTGAACATAAAAAACTGTCTAGTCTCATGAACCTCGTAACTGATTCTCTCTGGAGGTTAGATTTAATCATCAACACAAAAATGACCCCGAAAATCGAGGAGCGTCTTTTAAACTACATGCTAGCGCCACCTGCGTCCCTCATCCACCTCTGCTTGAAACGTAGAAACTTCGAGAGGGCGCATCAGGTCATACAGGTAAGTCTACAGGTTGAAGAGAGCCTTCTCGAGGCGCTGTTGGGTATAGATTTCGTACGTCGTTGGTGGGTACTCGATTTTTTTGCCGTCCATGATGAGTACTCCGGGTGGGTTCTGCGTGAAAAATCTCTTGGCTTCGTCGATGGTTTCGCGAGGTCTGCACATTTTGCAACAGCAGCAGCAACAACAACACCAACCTGGAATTGTCCGGTTTGAGTTTTTGTATAGTTTGGGGGTTTTTGTACCTCTTTGACACCAGCAGGGTATGGCTATGACTACATAGACGCAGAACCAGATGAGGGTAATGCGGAGGATTTTTTCCAAGATTCGAACGGTCGAGTTTGTGCTTTTGGAGGTTTGGAGATCTATTACGATGCACTTCAGGGCTGCTATTCCTAGAAAGACATTCATTTTTGCATTAAATTTGCTCCCTAGATTGATTTTTACTTCCCGAGCGTAAGCAAAGGAAGTATTGTAATCGAATCCGTCGACCGGCTCCCTACTTTTACATTTTCTCGACCTTTCATGACCCCGAGAGGACGAAGAAATAGGTCTTCCGTTTCCGGCTGTCTGTCCGTCTGTCTGTCCATCTGTCTGTCCGTCTGTCTGCCCATCTGTCTGTCCGTCTGTCTGTCCGTCTGTCTGCCTGCCGTCCCGGATTTTTATTAGACAGATAATCTCCGAAAGTACTGGGTGGATTGTTGTCAAATTTTGTATTTATATTAGGAATATCATGTAGATGGTAAAACGCTAACAACGCCACTTCAAAATTGTACATAGTAAATGGGTTTTAAAATGTATAAAACAACATAGTCCTACATATGTAGCTTATGACTCCAAATCGAATTTTTACCCGAAACGTCCAGATTTTTCAAAAAAAAAAAAATCAAAATTTTGAAACTACATTTTGCAATTTAATTTGGAATCTGCAAAACCGAATGCTTTGAAATCTTGCAGATGGTTTGCAGTTATGATAAGAATGATATATTTTTAATCAAAATATATTTACTTATCCCCTCCAAAAAATTGATGACCTCAGCTCAAAAGTTTGCCGAATAAATCCTATCTAAAATATACAAAATATGATGAGTTTGTACTTGTGTTTTATCATTCCATTAATATTTTTTGGATATGCATATACAGGGTGACTCAAAAAATTAATGAATGCATGAATTTATGTATTTCATTGATTTAATCAGGAACTAGAAAACCGAATGCTTTTAAATCTTGAAGATGTTTTAAAGTTATTATAAATGCAAATTTTTGAGCAAAATGTATTTGCTCATCCCCCCTAGAAAATTGATGACGTCACCCCAAAATTTTGCTGAATAAATCCTATCTAAAATGTACAAAATATGATGGGTCTTTACTTGTGATTTATCATTCCATTCATATTTTTTGAATTTGCATATACAAGGTGACTCAAAAAAATTAATGAATGCGTGAATTTATTTTATTGATTTAAGCAGGAACTACAAAATCGAATGCTTTTAAATCTTGGAAATGTTTTAAATTATCATAAATGCAAATTTTTGATCAAAATCTATTTGCTCATCCCCCCTGAAAATTTGATGACGTCAGCCCAAAATTTTGCTGAATAAATCTATCTAAAATGTACAAAATATGATGGGTCTGTATTTGTGATTTATCAGTCCATTCATATTTTTTTGGATTTACATATACAGGGTGACTCAAAAAATTAATGAATGCGTGAATTTATTTTATTGATTTAATCAGGAACTACAAAATCGAATGCTTTGAAAAGTTGGAAAATTTCTAAAAATTTCGATATTTCAACGGACGATTGTGGAAAAACGGTTGGAGTAACCAAAGAAACGAGGGCGGAAATGAGTTCTAGAGCTCGAAATCTACAACATAATGTATTTAGTTAGGTCTCGAAAATGTGAAATTTTGGCCAAAATTTGAAGAAATTTGAAAAATTTCACTTTTACAAAAGTTGTCTATAAATTCAGGGACGTAGATCTCGACATGCTGATTCCAAAAATATAGATGTTGTTTGTCACGGAGCAACATTTTCGAAAGAATCTGCACGAAATGTAAATTTTTCAGAATTCTAAAAATTTCGATATTCACCGGACGATTCTGGAAAAACGGTTGGAGTCATCAAAGAAGCGAAGCCGGAAATGAGGTCTAGAGCTCGAAATCTACAAGAAAATGTATTTAGATAGGTTTCGAAAATGTGAAATTTTGGCCGAAATTTGAAGAAGGGGAGACCATTGGAAAAATTTCACTTTTACGAAAGTTGTCTAAAAATTCTGAAAACATTCAGAGACGTAGACCCCGACATGCTGATTCCAAAAATATAGCATGTTGATTGTCACGGAGCAACATTTTCGAAAGAATCTGCACGAAATGTAAATCTTTCAGAATTTCTAAAAATTTCGATAATTTAATGAACTATTCTGGAAAAATGGTTGGAGTCATCAAAGAAACGAGGCCGGAAATGAGTGCTAGAGCTCGAAATCTACAAGAAAATGTATTTAGTTAGGTTTCGAAAATGTGAGATTTTGGCCAAAATTTGAAAAAGGGGGGACCATTGCAAAAATTTCACTGTTACAAATGTGGTCTAAAAATTCTGAAAAAATTCAGGGACCCTTGTTTTGAAAATCTGAACAAGTGTTTATGGTCCAGAACCGGATTTCTCTGAAACATTGAGTTTGAAAGTGAGATTTCTGTAATTTTGAAAATATTGTTCGAATTTTCGAAAAACTGAAGCCGAATAGAACTTCTGTTATGTTTGATGATTATGAATTAGAACAGCGGACAGTCGTTTTATAAGTTTTATTAAACAATAACAAGTGTGTTCTAGAATAACGTTAGACAGAAAAATCGTCACAATTGAGATAGGGTGCAAGGGCGGGGCTTATAGTTTCCCTTTGTTTTTTCTTAATATACATAGCCATCTTTTCACAACAAGAAACTTGGAACATGGTTAAAATGGTAAATTTGTATAGGGAAATAGAGATTCTGCAGTTACCCCTCGGTCCGACAACGAATAAAAAAAATCATCAAAATTGAGATAGGGTGGGTGGGCGGGGCTTATAATTTGCCTTTGTTTTTTCTTAATATATATAGCCGTCTTTTCATAACATGAAACTTAGAACATGGTTAAAATGTACATTTTTGCAAGGAAGTACGGATTTCGCAATTATGGAGCGGAACCTAATTGCAAAGTTTATATTTCCCTATACAAATTTTCCATTTTAAACATATTTTAAGTTTCATGTTGTGAAAAGGAGTCTACACATATTCAAATAAAAAGACATGTTTTGCCTTTTTTTTTCTTCTTAATATACTTGTTCTCTTCACAACAAGAAACTGAAAACATGTTCAAAGTAGTAAATTTTGTCCCTCATATTCCTCTACAAATTTACTAGAAAAAAAAACCACGTGCATACTTTAAGAAAAAAAAACGCAAAATACAAAATGTGACGACTTCTTTTATTTGTCGTGAGTTGAGGGGCGGAACTTAACTGCAAAATGTTTATTTCTCGACAAGAATCAACCATGTTGAACACGTTTTTATGTATCATGATTTTAAAAGAAAATTATATGTCAAGAAAAAAAAACTTCACCCACCCGCCCCAACCTCAAATGCGATAAATTTTTCATTCGTTGTTAGACGAAGGGGCGGAGCTTAAGTGTAAAATCCGTGTTTCCCGACCAAAATTTACCATTTTAAACGTTTTAAATTGTTGTCACAAAAAGAAGATACGTATATTTAGAAAAAAGGGAAAAATTTAAGCCCCGCCCACCCACCCCTGTCTTAATTGTAAATGATTTTTCTTATTCGTTATGAGCCAGAGGGCGGAGTTTAATTGCAAAATCTGCAACATGTATTTAAGTATGATATTGATGTTGAAAGAAACCTATATGTATTAAGGAAAAAAGTAAGAATAAAGCATTTTCTACAGCATGTTTTTTTAAATGGCAATATTAACATGCATTTCAATTATTTTCAACTATACAATTTTTTGTGAATTTTTAGACGACTTTTTCAAAAATATAATTTTCCATATTTTGACACACTTTCGACAATTTTCGAAATTTATGTAAATACATTCTCTTATTTTTAGAAATTTCAAAAAATTCGAATTTTACTCCGAATATATCGAAAATATTGCTCCGTGATCCCAAATGGGCTATTTTTTTGGAATCGAATTATATTTAGATATTTTTCTTAATATACGTAGTCTTCTTTTTACAAACCAGAAAGTAAAAACATGTTTAAATTAGTAAATTTTTGTAGGGAAATACGGATTTTGCAGTTACACTCCGCCTCTCGGTGTGATAACCAATGAGAAATTCATCACAATCGACACAGGGCGGGTGGGCGGAGTTTATATTTTGCCTTTTTTTTTGTTCCTTAACCTATACAGTCTTCTGTTACCAACCCACATTTCTCTATAAATTTACTAGAAAAAAAAAATGACGTGCATATATTAAGAAAAAAACGCAAAATACATCATCTCAATTGTGACGACTTATTTTATTAGTCGTCAGCTGAGAGGCGGAGCTTAATTGTAAAATGCTTATTTCTCGACAAGAATCTACAATGTGAAACATATTTTTATGTATCATGTTTTTAAAAGATTGACAAAAAAGTCAAAAAATAAGCCCCACCCGCCCACCCCAACTTCGAATGTGATGAATTTTTCATTCGTTGACGAACCAAGGGGCGGAGCTTAACTGTAAAATTCGTGTTTTCCGACAAAAATTTATCATTTTAAACGTTTTAAATATCTTAATGCGAAAAGAAAATTACGTATATTCAGAAAAACGGCAAAATTCAAGCCCCGCCCACCCACCCCATCTCAATTGTAAATATTTTTTTTATTCGTTGTGAGCCAGAGGGCGGAGTTTAGTTGCAAATTGCTTTTTTCTCAGCAAGAACTTACCATCTGAAACATGTTTTAAGTATGATGTTTTTGAAAAACCTGTATACATTAAGAAAAAGAAGCAAGGATAAAGGATTTTATACAATATGGTTTTTTAAATAGCAATATTAACATGCATTTCAATTATTTAGAACTATACAATTTTTTGAGAATTTTTAAACGAGTTTTTCAAAAATGAAATTTTCCACTATGTATTCAAATTTTGACACATTTTCGACGATTTTATCTAAATACATTTTCTTGTAGATTTGGGACCGCAAAAGTCACTTCTTGTCTTTTCAGAATCGTCCATTGAAATATCACAATTTTTAAAGATTTAAAAAGATTCGAATTTCACTCCGAATATTTTGAAAATATTGCTTGGTAATCCCAAACAAGCTATATTTTTGGAATCAGCATACATTTTGACATTCTTCTTAATATACTTAACCTTCTTTTCAAAAAAAAAGAAATTTAAAACATGTTTAAAACAGGAAATTTTTGTAGGGAGATGTGGATTTTGCAGTTATGCTCCGCCTCTCGGTCTGACAACCAATGAAAAATTCATCACAACTGAGATAAGGGCGGATGGGCGGGGTTTAATTTTTGTCTTTAATTTTTACTTAAAAATACATATACTTTTCTTTGAACAACACGATTCTTGATAAGGATTTTGTCATTAAGCTTTTCCCACGACGTAGACAGAAAAATCGTCACAATTGAGACAGGGTGGGTGGGCGGGGTTTATATTTTTCTTTTGTTCCTTAATATACATAGTCTTCTCTTTACAAGAAACTGAAAACATGTGTAAAATTGTAAATTTGTCCCTCACATTTCTCTACGAATTTATTATAAAAGAAAATTAAGCAGAAAAGAATTAACATTTTATATACTACCAAATTTTCGTTAGGTCCCCATAGTGAATATAGAATCAAATGAATCAGTTCCGAATGAATCCTGCTACCCTGTGTTCAAAGGTGATGGCGGCTCTGGCTCCCGCCCTTACGGGTGGAGAGGGGTAAAACAGGTTCCCGCCAGATGCACTTTCTTAACAACTTCCACAATGTATTTGCTCATCCCCCCTGAAAATTTGATGACGTCACTCCAAAATTTTGCTAAATAAACCTATCTAAAATGTACAAAATATGATGGATCTGTACTTGTGATTTATCTTTCCATTCATATTTTTTAGGTTTGCATATACAGGTTGACACAAAAAAATTAATGAATGCGTGAATTTATTTTATCGATTTAATCAGGAACTACAAAATCGAATGCTTTAAAATCTTGGAAATGTTTTAAAGTTAGCACGGTCAATTTTTGATCAAAATGTATTTGCTCATCCCTCCTGAAAATTTGATGACGTCACCCCAAAATTTTGCTGAAAAAATTCTTTCAAAAGTGTGCAAAATATGATCAGACTGTACTTGTAACCTATCATTGCATTCATATTTTTTAGATTTGCGTATACAGGTTGACCAAAAAAAAATGAATCAGTCAATTTATTTAAGAAAGTGAAACCAGAAGCGAGGGAAGTTCTGTCGAAACAACTTTCGACCAATTTTTTTACCTATTCCTCTATTGCTTTCGGCCGAACAATTCTTGGCATCTTTGAATTCCATTACCGCGTCAACTGCCTCTTCCACGGTCTCATCTTCCTTAACGTCCGTGTAGTTAAACTTGTCCTTACTCTGCCTTTCCGCCTCCACCTCCTTCTGATACGCCGTCTTAAAGGAACCGTAGTCATAATTCTCCACCTTCTCTTCCACCTGCTTCTCTTCCTCTCTCTTCCTCTTGATTTTACTGTCGATCAACCTCTTCGCCATCTCATTCAAATAATACACGTGCTCATTTTCCTGTAAATCCAAATCACAAATCAACGAATAAATCGCCAACGATAATACTACCGGCTGAATAAAATTGCCCTTTGTATCAACAAAACCGCCTTCCCAGGGTATAGCTTCGTCCAAATCGAAGTTGTGTTCCTCAAACTTGGTTATATTCTTCACGGGTTGGTTCTCCGTAAGTTCCCGTTTGTTCTGGTGGAGAGCGATTTGGTGGATCATGAAGTACTTCTTTTCTGAATCCGGAGAAGGTTCCACCGGAATCATCTCATCCTCGTCGCTAAAAATGTCATCGCTTTCCGATATTTCAGAAATGACGAAGGTTTCTCCATCTTCCAAGTGGATTTCGTGAGGGGGAGGCCAAATACTTAAAACTTCTCGAGCGAGAAGAAGCAACGAAATGACACGAAAGACTGTCATTGCGTTTGTTGCAGATTTTTGATCTGAGGGATAGCGATCTGGCGCACGAAGTGACTTACGCGGAGAGTTTACTCGCTTTCAAGAAGTTTCTGCGGAAAAATGGGAAGCTGAAAGTGTCTATAGATCGATCGGTTGAAGATTTCTTCCAGGAGAATCCGCCTCGAGTTAATAGGGAAGTAGAACAAGCTATGGAGAAGTTAGGCGAGAAGTTCAAACATGTTCTTCATTTTAAAAGTGATAACGAAACATTTATGAACGTTTTCGATTTTGCCTTGACGAGTACGAAAACGTGGGAGGAGTCGGAGCTACTTTTGAAATTGGCCGCCGACAAGTACAATTTAGACGATTCCATACCTTCAAACTATCGAAATTTCTATAAAAGAATCACAGAACTTGCTTACGTAGTTGGTCCAAAGGACAACGTTTCCCTCCCTGAGATTCTTACTTCACCACAGTATCCCCTCGATGTCACACACTACAATAGCAAAGAAGAATTCTATGACGCTCTAGGCAAACTGTACGACGAATTCCAAACGCAAGTTCAGAACAGAGACCCTGGTAGCTTCAACAAGAACCACCCTAGCCATAAAACCTTACTCAAAATGAACGACCTATGCCAAAAGTACTTGCAAGAGACTTCCAGCGAAAAAGAACCCATCCAGTACTTACAACGCACGTTCAACTACCTCAAAGCCTTCTCCAGAATCTTATACATCGAGCAAAACAGCTCCGACATCATCACCAAACAGACAAACGCTTCTTTCTTCGACATCTTCGATTTCAATCGATCCGAGCTCACCGGGAAACTCCTCTTCGAGCGCCACCTAGACCCCACCGAATTCGAAAAGTACTTCGGAAAACTTAAACTGGACTTTTTGTACCACGTGGTGGGTAACTGCTTCCCAACTATCAACCTCCACGTCCAGGAGAACGTCACCGTCGAAGAACTGTACCATGACAACATGCTTTATATTCCGAGTCCTAGTATCATCGTCTACATCCAAAAGCGAAACTGGTTGCTTGCCTTTATTTTAAGCGAAATGTACAAAGTCGAGGGTATCAAAATCGACATCAGCGAGGTGCGTCTTCGCACCTTCTTCAACTACTTGAAGTTGCCGAAGATCCAGCACTTGAAGGCGATTTTCGAGAAGAACGATATCATTGCGGCTCTCCAGAATTGCATCAGTGCGCAGAAAGTGAGGTTGTACCTCAGGCAGCACATCGTCGAGCCGGACGTTATATCGATTCAATCAGCACACAGTAACAGTTCGGAGGAGGTGTTAGAAACCGGGGTGGAGATGCTCGAAGACGCGAAGACGACCAATTGGAAGTCTCTGTATGATCTTATTGAGAGCGTGCCCGAGAATCAAATGAAAAAGAAGCCAGATTTGGTTGCTTTGAGGGACATGGTTTTGGTAAATATCGTGCAGGATGGGTTCGAGTCGGAGTACTATAGATACACTTTTTATATTACTGAGAGGGATTTACGGATTGATACGATATTTAATAATTTGAAGAGATGGCCTGGGAAATTCGCGTCCGACGTTATCAAGGCGGAAGTCAGCAGGTTTGATTGTTTGATGGACAGTAAAGTCGAAACGTTGCGAGATTGGCTGAAGCATATTGAGCTTAATGAACAGGTAAGTGGAACTTTCTTTAGATTTAAAAGTTAGTGCGTGGTTTCAGTTGAAAACCGTTTTCGACCTCAAATCGTGGTACAAAAGTTACAACTTCTGCAAGAATTACCCGGAAAGTGCCTTGGAAAAGATTTTGCTCACGGATAACGTAAGTAACCTTCGTTTTTCTAAAAACGAGATTTTTTAATCAACCTGTAGGTGGACCACTTACTGGACTTCATCAAACTTTATAAACCCTCCGAGGACACTCTTTGTAACATCACCACGACCTACTTGTCCAAAATCATGGACTTAAACATCCCCTTAACCAAAATCAAAACCATCCTTGATAGTCTCCCGTTTGAACACGCCATCAACACCTGCCACAATCTCCTCACCCTTCTGCGCAATCTCGAGTACCTTCAATTCATAGCCGACTACCTAAACAACAACGTAACCGACGACCTCTTCCTCAAAAACGTGCAAGTCAGCCTAAAAATGCTTACCGTGTTTAATGCAACCGACCAAGAACAACTATTCTGCCTAATCAACGAACCTCTAAGCATCCTTGAGGTCCTACTCATGAACACGAAACTCGACAAACTCGCAGCTATTCTTGAAGTCCTGAACGTACCTAACCAAGATTACAGTCGAGAGATCATCAGTGTGGAGAAAATCGATGAATTGTTGCGACGGTACGCCGAGAAGAGCCTAGATTTTAGGGTGATCACGCATCCCAACCCTCGTTTACTCAAGACGCCTGAACCTACTAAGTTGCTTCAGTCGTTTGATTCTTTGAGTTTGGCGTCTGATAAGAAGCAGTTTGTGGTACCGGAGGTGGTACCTACGAAAGAGGAGTGGGTGCAGAATGATGAAGTTGTGGAGTGTATGTGTTGTCGGCAAGTTACCTTCTCCATGTTCAGTAGGAGGCACCACTGTAGAAGATGCGGGCGTGTGGTGTGCTATGCGTGTTCTTTGAAGAGGATGTTGGTACCGACGTACGGAGATATTCTGGTGAGGGTGTGTCTGGACTGTTTCGCACAGACTTGTAGCAGTTCTGACAAAAGCGATAGTAATGCTTCGGAAAAGAGTGACTTGCCGTCATCAAGATCCTTCGTCCAAGAGTACTGGTTCTTGAATGACGATCCCGAGCATAACAAGATCATCAGAGAGGAGTTTTCGTACGAACACGCACCGAGTACCTCTTTGTGTTTCTCGATTTTGAAGTACCATTCTAAGAGTGTCGAGTACCCGAAGTAATGTAGATACAGTTTGATAGAAGAGGGTTTTAACGTGTCGTTTCAGGTTTCTGCTAGAGCAGTGCGAGATAATGTTGAAACTACTACAACCGAACAAGGAGCCCACGCACGAAATCGACTATCTCTTGGTGATAAAGATGTTGAAGTACGACTATAGAAGCTCTAGGAAGAATACAAGAATGAGTCTTTATTGGTTGCAGGTCTCTAGCAGTAGCCGCGAAAATGGTGTCTGCAGAAAATATGCTGAGTTCTGGGACTTCCATGGCTGATAGAATTCTATCTCAAGCAGAGCTTTTGGCTTTGTTGGCAGAAAGAGGTTGTTTGAATTTAATGCCCCTAGTAGGAGGGCAAAACCTCTACATCGACCCTACCGTATTGAGGAGGTTACGCGATAAGTTACTACAACGCGAGCAGTGGAATTTAGCGTTGGAGGTTTCCACAAAAGCGGGACTAGACAATTCAGGTAAGCTTTGTCTTTCAGGTTGTTTTAAATTGTGATGTCAACCGAACTAATTCAGGTGTGTTCGCCGCCTGGGGTAAAAGCTGCTTAAAAGCCGGCAGCCTTTTAGTCGCCAGAGACAAATTCCAGCGATGTTTCGACAGACACAACCAATACGAAACTTCCTCTATCGCCAGCAGACAGTCCGACCTATATAGAAGCTTGGACAGTCTTACATTGAGCAGGTCCCGCCTATCCTCCCGAATCTCCACCAGTAGCACCCTTTCCACCGAAAACAAACCAATCAAAGACCCTCCTCTCCTTCACGAAATCATCGAAATCTTGGAAACCAAGACACGGACCATCAAGTCCGAGGTCCTCGAAAAAGCCCAACGCATCACCATTTCAGGGTCGATGTCGAGCTTAAACCAAATCGCACCCTTCACGGTACACACAGACACGGCTATCTGCGTGGTAAACCGAATTAAAAACCTCAAGGAGATCGTTTCAGGGAACTTTTCTTTCGCCGAAGGAAAAAAAGTCAATCCTTACAGCTCCAAGCCATCTATAGACCCGATTTTCTACGACGAGTGTGTTTATTATTTGACCAAATACGGTACCCATTTGAGTCTACTGGAATTCTATGTGAGACACGGCGATATTCATACCGCGTTGTTGTACATTGTTGAAAACAGGCTAACGACTGATCTTTTCGTCGAAGTTTACATGAAGTGCCTCAAGGACGGCGTCGTGAATATTTTGCAAGAACAGATGTCTCGAATTGACTCATCCTTGAATTTGTGGAAGGATTATTTGAGGCAGTTGTGTCGTCAACTCGAAAAGCATCAGTTGTTGAATTGTTTGTATCAGTTGCAGTTGTACATAGGCGACTACGTGAGAGCAGCCATGACGTGTATTCGGTTTTACGAAGAAAATGTGAAGAGTTTTACCGAGTTGGCGAACAACATGACGCATTTGTACAAAGGGGAGGAGCATTTGAAACAGGTTTTGGAGCAGGAGCAGTGGGTGGACGTGTCAGGTATGAATCAGTGTGAAACTCGGGCGCCAGTTTTACAAAATACTATTTTATTACCGTTACTATAGCTAATTTCTGTAAGTCTCCTCTAAGTATTATGCTTCTAGTAGAGTGACGTAATCCAACGCGCTTAAATCCCGGCTGCCAAATAGTAGAAATATTGTATATGCGATTTCTATATAAATTTAAATAAAAAACAAGGTATCCAAACAAAAAAAAGTTAATTATTCCTAAAGTTGTAGAATTATAATAGTTATTTAAATGAACTGATAAAAACAGTTACTGTTTACATGGCCATTGAATATTTAATTTTATGTTTATGTTAATTTGACCTTTACTTTTCACCTATATTTTTTTTCCAAAACAAATTTTCGTCCTCCGCGCGTTTCACTAATTTCAAACGTGGAGCCAAATATTTAAACCCTGATTGGTAAATTGAATGTAGTTTTCAATGTCATTGGACACTTTAAATTTTCCCGCCAAAACTAACCTATTTCTTTGGTGGCGGTTAATTTAAAAATTCAAACGCTCCCTTCCAGTTGACACTATGAGCACCAATTCGAAGGACAGTTTCCACGAACGAATGCTCTCAAACCCCGACCTAGTAATGAAAATCGACACTAAAGACATCAACAAACACATTGACACCGTATCAAGGCAAGTCGAAATCGTCAATTTTCTCTCACGGTGTGAATCGTCGGGCGTCAACACAAGACAACTCTTAACAGACCTCATTTCGTTCAAAGGTGGGAAAATAAAGTGAAATTTCGTCCTCTTCTTTTGAATGAAATTTCCAGATTCCAACTTTACCAACGAAAAACTAACGATCCCGATACTTTTCGGTTCCACTGCCGATAAGATACACCTCGCGACGATGGCGATCGTCGCCGGCAGGAGCGTCGAAGAAGGTTTCCAGCTCGCCACAAACATAATAGAAGATTTTAAATTGCGTCCGATCAAGGTGTATTGTTTGGCTGGGAAACAGTTCGCGAAATCGGAACGCTACAACGGGATTTCACAGCTGGTTAACTGCATCAAGTCCACGGGAATTAACGATTCGGCTGTTTCGGATATGTTGGATGAAATGCTTGCTCAGGCTGTCGGAACGCTGATTAAGGCGAACGTAACGGCGACCAAAGTGGAGGAGTTGATCAAGCTGATAAAGGACAGGGCGATAAAGGTATGACGGAGTTTGTGAAAACTCGGAGTGAGGTTTTGTTTGCAGATTTCGGCGTACATTGAGGCGAAGCAGTTGAAGACTGCGTATTTTTTGGCTGTTAAATATAAAAGGACTGCGGATGTTAGGAGGATACAAAGGGAGGCTGAGTTGCTGAATATGCCTGCGATTAAGGCGCTGTGCCAAAAGGTTCTTCAGACTTCGCCTTCCACGTCGCATTCCAAAGAGTAATAGGCTGTGATTGAGTACCATGAGAGGCTATTTTTGTACCTTATATGTAATTAACAAATAAACTTTTATTAATATAATATGTTGGGTTCAATTTTTAAAACTCTTGTGTTTGAAGGGTTCTACGTTTCGAAAGTATTGTTGGAAAATTAATTATAATTCTGATGGTTCAGTAAATTCAACTCATACCTTCAAAACTAATCTTTATTTTATGTCTGAAGGTGACGTCATCAAGTTTCCGGAGGGTATAAATGAATCAACTTTAATTATTAGTTAATGTCACCTTTCCCGATATTATTATAATAAAATAATAATAATTTTATGTCTGAAGGTGACGTCATCAAGTTTCCGGAGGGTATAAATAAATCAACTTTAATTATTAGTTAATGTCACCTTTCCCGATATTATTATAATATAATAATAATTTTGTCTGAAGGTGACGTCATCAAGTTTCCAGAGGGTATAAATGAATCAACTTTAATTATTAGTTAATGTCACCTTTCCCGATATTTAAAATATAAACTAAAAATTTCTACCATATCCAATAAATATTTATACAACGAAAGATTCTGAAATTCAGAAATCCCTGGAAAATATATACAGTCTTGTTGATTTTCTTTTTTGTTTCAAAAAGTGCCAGGCATTCTTGCTCAGACACAAGTAAGAAAAATCTAAATATCGGTTGGCGACCTTACAAGGTTAAAAAACCGTAGCGAATACAAAGAAAATAAATGATAGAGATTAACATTAATGCAAACCGGTAAATTAACGGAACAAAGTGAAAGTATATGTCAGGCTGACATTAATGAATAAAGCAGAGCTAAAAAATAACTACGAAAAAAGCAAAAGTTAAAGTAAAAATAGGAAAACAACCCTTCTAGATCCAATTTTTAAAATAGGGAAGCTGATGTTTTTTAAATTAAACATTTTAATAAATGGGTCAAAATATGTTTTAATGAACAAAAAAATTATATTTAACAAAAAAGACATATTTAAAACAAATTTGCCGAGACGAAGTCGGGCGATGAAAAAAATGTTCACTCACGAGGTGACGTGATTTTCTTAATTTGACACTTAAAAAGCCGTATTTTCTCTTAGGTACAGATATTCAGATTGTAGATTGTTTCAGAAATTCCTCCCACTCAAGTTCTAAAATCACAAACCAGCTATGTTGAGATTCAGTAAATAAATTTATTCACTCTGTAAATTACAGGCATAGCCAACCACGAAATGCTGTTTACCGTTCATAATACTTGGGAGTTTAATATCACATTAATACCAACTTAAATACTCTACTTAATTAAAATAAAAATTAAAATATATTACTAAATTAATCAGGATTTAGTACTCAGGTGAGATTAGTCTTCGAGGATTTCGTTCCCGTTCGCTTCGTGATTGTCGCTGGGGATCCCGTTCTGCAGTTCGGAGTTTAATTTCTCGGCAAACACTGCATCCATTTCGGATATCTGCTTCAGGAAGCTCTCTTTCTGGTCGCTGCTCCACTGGGTGAACCACTCCCGGAACAACTTCACCTACAACGCAATTTTTCACTCCACCGCGTCCTCATACGCAATTCAAATTCCTTACTCGGCACTCGAACAGCGACATGGGTTTGTCCTGGCAGTTCACGTTTGCGATGCTGTTGACGATCCCGTTCACGTAGGCCCTATTGGCGTATTTCTCCGCCAAGATGGGCAGGAAGTCTGACCTTTGGAGCTCGCTCCACTCTTGGAACCACTGGACTAAATATCTAACCTGGGCTTCGGTGCTCAGCATTTTGCAGTCTTTTGAATCAGTCACTGGAACAGAACAAACACCTTCACTATCGGAACGCTACTACGTATTTGCAATCGGGGGAATAAAAGAGAAAGGTTAATATTGGTGCATGACATGGCAAAGCTTTTGTTGACAATTTTTAGCGTGCGTTGTGACCCATTTACTTACGGAGGGCGCTTACCACTAGGAGAAAAAGTTTTATTATAACATGCTTCTTATCAGGTACGGTTTATGGTGTTGTTACTGTAAAAAAACTCGTTTGAGTGGTGAACCGTAATGACCTCGCACTTTTTAAATGCGGCCTTGACCTGGCTTGCTCTCACGCGGTCGGTAAGATAGGGGACGACAAGAACGGTTTTAAAAATACAATTTTCAAAACTGAAGAACATTTAAAAATAGCGGGTCACGTCGTCATGCGTGAAATATTTGCTTGTTTTTTTGTCAAACTCATAATGCATTCTTTGTTTCATTAATAAAATCATAACAACAAAAACAACGTTGAGAAAATGTGCTGACAGACATGTACAAAAAATCTTAAGATACTGTGAGGTTTCGATTTTAATACATACTCATGTTACATTAAAATTTTGAACAATTGTCTTAATTTTGAAAATCTGACTTTAAATTTTGTAAACTCTTTTTTGTGTATACCAATGCAACAAAAACAAATGTTACTAGATGGAGATATGTCACTCCTATTCATCTAAAACCATAAACGTAGAAATTAGATTAGATCGGGTAAGTAAATAAAACGATGCTTATTTTTCAGACATCTCTCCAAATGAGGGAGAAAATCGGTACCTTTTACCAAATTTATTTTTTAAGGATCTGTGAAAACTAAAAAAAAATTTAGTTTTCTACCGCACCGGAGTGTGGGAAATGAATGAGGTGTCTACCGCCGTGCTCTCGTAATAATTTGTAATGACTGAGTAAGTTAAATGTTGTGAAGTATTTTAAATAAAAAGAAATCCATTCAGCAGTTTTTCAACAACAAGCTGGTTGCACTCAGTTCTATATCTTGCTGCATTCAGTGTTCTAATCAAAGATACATATGCATGTCATTTTCATCATATCTCATCGAATAACGCAGAAAATTCACATTGAATTTATGCCCCTAGTTTTTACTTTATAGAGATTATCACAAACGAAAATCGCAGAATCAAATTTTATAATTTTTTAAAGAAGCAGGATTTGTTGAATTATACTTCAAAGGCGAGGGAAGTTCTGTCAAAATAACCTTCGACAATTTTTTTCATTCCGAAATTGCGTTTCTCAGGTTTATGTTGGCAACAGTATTTGTTTCTAACTAGGAATAAAATTAACTAGAAAAAATGTCATAATATTTTCAACGACGCGTTTTACTTTCGAAAACTTTAAATTACGCGGTAACTTTGTACGTGGTGACTGCGCATGCTGTATAGGGGTGTATCTTTTACGACTATTCAGTAGATAGGTCCATTGACATTTACCAGAATATTACAAGCTATTTACTGTTTTCTTCACTTTAATTCAGGTCACACGAATTACAGTTCGTCGTCTGCGAACTTGTTTGATCTACAGACCAGAGCGCACTCAGGCCAATGTCGACTCTAAGCGTTCGGAAACGATTTGATCCGTGATCTGATACACATCCTAGCCGGTTTCGACCATAATTTCTTGCTGTTTCAACTTTCGAATTCACAGTTTTCCGAAATTTTAGTTTGGGGACTTTTCAGTTTACTCCTATTTATTATTAAATTTTTGGATTTTGCAATTTCTCAATTTTTCAATTTCTCGGTTTTCAGTTTTTCTCTTCAATTCAATCAATACGATTATTAAATATTTCGATTTTTCAATTTTTGACTTTTATAAACTCTTTATTTGTCGATTTTTCAATTAATTGATTTTTCAGGTTTTTTGGTTTTTCAATTTTTCTATTTTTTCAGGTTTCGATTTTTCAACATCACTTTTTTGATTTTTCGATTTCTCAATTTTTCAATTGTTTAATTTCTCAGTTTTTGGACATTTCAGTTTACTTGTCATTCAATTTTTCGATCTTACGATTTTGCAGATTTTTGATTTTTCAGTTTTTCGATTTTTTTTAAGGTTTCAATATTTCGACTTCACTTCTTTGATTCTCAATTTTTCGATTCTTTAGATTCTCGGTTTTGGGATTTTTCCGTTTTTCGATTCGTCAGTTTTTCTTTCATTTTTCAGTTTTTCGATATTTCACTTTTGGGAACTTCGACTTTTTTTGACTTCTGGATTTTTCGATGTGTCGACTTTTTACTTTTTCGATTTTTAAATTTTAGATTTCTCAATTATTTGGTATTTTAATTTTTCAATATTTAAAATTTTAAATTTTTCGATTTCTCGATCTTTCATTTCATCTCTTCCATATTTCGATTTTTCGACTTCCCGGTTTTAGATTTTCTGTTTTTCAATTGTCGTGTTTTCAATTTTTCAATTTTTCAATTTTCGATTATCCGATTTCTCGATTTTTCATTTCAGTTCTTCGATATTTCACTTTTTCAAGTTTTCGATTTTTTCGAATGTTTTGATTTCTTAATCTATCGATTTTTCGACTTACCGGTTTTAGATTTTCTGTTTTTCAATTGTCGTTTTTTCAAATTTTCGATTTTTCACTTCTTCAAATTTGACGTTTATAAACTGTCAGTTTTTCGATTTTGAATTAATCGATGTTTTGATTTTCCCATTTCTTGACTTTTGAGGGTTTCGATATTCCTGTTCTTCAATTCTTTAATTTTTCGATTTTTCAGGTTTTTGGTTTTACATTTTTTAGTTTTTTTAAGGTTTCGATTTTTCGAGTTCACTTTTTGTATTTCTCGCTTGCTCAATTTTTCGACTTTTTAGGTTCTCAGTTTTTGGAGATTTCAGTTTTCGGATTTTCCAGGTTTTCCATTTTTCAGTTTTTCTTTCATTTTTCAGTTTTCCGATATTTCAGTTTTGGAATTTTTCAATATTCCGATTCTTCGACTTTTCGATTTTTGGCTTCTGGAGTTTTCGATGTGTCGATTTTTTTACTTTTTCGATTTTTCAATTTTTCGATCGCTTAATCCGATTTTCCGATTTCTCCATTTTTTATTTCAGTTCTTCGATATTTCAGTTTTTCAAGTTTTCGAATTTTTCAAATGTTTTGATTTCTTAATCTATCGATTTTTCAACTTCCCGGTTTTAGATTTTCTGTTTTTCAATTGTCGTTTTTTCAAATTTTCGATTTTTCAGTTTTTCAAATTTGACATTTATAAACTGTCAGTTTTTCGATTTTTCAATTAATCGATGTTTTGATTTTCCCATTTCTTGACTTTCGAGGGTTTCAATGTTCCTGTTCTTCAATTCTTTAATTTTTCGATTTTTCAGGTTTTTGATTTTTCATTTTTTAGCTTTTTAAGGTTTCCATTTTTCGAGTTTCACTTTTTGTATTTCTCGCTTGCTCAATTTTTCGACTTTTTAGGTTCTCAGTTTTTGGATATTTTAGTTTTCGGATTTTCTAGGTTTTCCATTGTTCAGTTTTTCTTTCATTTTTCAGTTTTCCGATATTTCAATTTTGGAATTTTTCAATATTTCGGTTCTTCGACTTTTCGATTTTTGGCTTCTGAAGTTTTCGGTGTGTCGATTCTTTTACTTTTTCGATTGCTTAATCTTTCGATTTTTCGACTTCCCGGTTTTAGATTGTCTGTTTTCAATTGCCGTTTTAAATTTTTCGATTTTTCAATGTTTTTTGATTTTCCGATTTAGTTTCCCATTTTCAGTTTAACTTTCATGTTCCAGTTTTTCGATATTTCAGTTTTGGGATTTTTCAATATTTCGATTCTTCGACTTTTCGATTTTTGACTCCTGGATTTTTTGCTGTGTCGATTTTTCAATTTTTCAAATTTTAAAATTTAGATTTTTTTAATTTTCAAAATTTTAGATTTTTCGATTTCTCGATTTTTCATTTCAGTTCTTCGATATTTCAATTTTTTCCAAGTTTTCGAATTTTTCAAGTGTTTTGATTTCTTAATCTATCGATTTTTCGACTTCCCGGTTTTAGATTTTCTGTTTTCAATTGTCGTTTTAAATTTTTCTATTTTTCAATGTTTTGATTTCCCGATTTAGTTTCCCATTTTTAGTTTTTCTTTCATTTTACAGTTTTTCGTATTTCAGTTTTGTGATTTTTCAATATTTCGATCTTCGACTTTTAGATTTTTGACTCCTGGATTTTTTGATGTGTCGATTTTTCAATTTTTCAAATTTTAAAATTTAGATTTTTTTAATTTTCAAAATTTTAGATTTTTCGATTTCTCGATTTTTCATTTCAGTTCTTCGATATTTCAATTTTTTCCAAGTTTTCGAATTTTTCAAGTGTTTTGATTTCTTAATCTATCGATTTTTCGACTTCCCGGTTTTAGATTTTCTGTTTTCAATTGTCGTTTTAAATTTTTCTATTTTTCAATGTTTTGATTTCCCGATTTAGTTTCCCATTTTTAGTTTTTCTTTCATTTTACAGTTTTTCGTATTTCAGTTTTGTGATTTTTCAATATTTCGATCTTCGACTTTTAGATTTTTGACTCCTGGATTTTTTGATGTGTCGATTTTTCAATTTTTCGATTTTTAAATTTTAGATTTTTTTAATTTTTAAAATTTTAGGTTTTTCGATTTCTCGATTTTTCATTTCAGTTCTTCGATATTTCAATTTTTTCCAAGTTTTCGAAATTTTCAAGTGTTTTGATTTCTTAATCTATCGATTTTTCGACTTTCCGGTTTTAGATTTTCGATTTTTCAATCAATCGATGATTTTCCCATTTCTTGACCTTTGAGTGTTTCGATTTTCCTGTTCTTCAATTCTTTAATTTTTTGATTTTTCAATTTTTCGATTTTTTAAGGTTTCTATTTTTCGACTTCACTTTTTGATTTTTCGATTTTTCAGTTTTTAGATTTTAGGATTTTTCAATATTTCAATTCTTTGGCTTTTCTATTTTTGACTTTTGGATGTTTCGATGTGTCTACCTTTTTACTTTTTCGATTTTTCAATTTTTGGATTTTTAAATTTTAGATTTTTCAGTCTTTTGCTATTTTAATTTTTCAATTTTTCGATTTGTTAATTTTTCATTCCCGATTTATAGAGGTTTGATTGTTCAGGTTTTCGATTTATAAGTATTTCAATTTTTTATTTTGGCCTATTTCGGTTTCTCAGTTTTTCCAGTTTTCCATTTTTTCGTTTTTTCATTTTTTCCGCTTTTCCAATTTTTCAACTTTTAACTTTTTGTTCGATTTCTCTATTTTTCGATTTTTCGACTTCATCACTTTTCGATTTCTCGTTCTTTTGATCTTTCAATCTCTCAATTTTTCAATTTTTCGAATTTTTAAGTTTTTTGATTTCTCGATTTATCGAGATTTGGATTTTTCGATATTTTGATTGTCACTTTTTCAACTTATAAATTGTTCAATTTTTAGATTTTGGCCTATTTCGGTTTCTCAATTGTTCGACTTTTCGACTCCACGATTTCTTGATCCTTTGATTTTTCGATTTCTCGGTTTTTCGATGTTTCGATTTTTCAGTTATCCGATTTTTTAAAGTTGGGAGTTTCGATTTCTCGATTTTTGGTTATTCACTTAGTCGTTATAAAAACCGACCAATTTCCCGCAGAAATTATAGTTCAAACCAACCATATGGCTTCTGAACGCTTAGAGTCGACATTGGCCTGAGCGCGGTCTGGTCTGTAGATCAAACAAGTTCTCAGGCGACGAGTTGTAGTAAAACAAGTTTTTTTATTGGCATCGACTATTTAAAATTGGCGCTTGCGGACTCCAATGTCAATAAAGGCGGTTTTGCAAAATCAGCCTGTATGTCGCATCTATATTAATCTATGCTCAAACCATGTAGGTGTGTTCTCTGATAGAGGTATTATAAGCAGGGAAGTGAATAACAGAGAAATGTTTTTTAGAGAAAACGGTAAAAAGAGTAAACATGTGTGTTTCTTTCAAAAATATTAATTTAAGTAGTAACTGTTATTTTGTTAAAAAACCATTCACTACTTCACAGGATATACAAATTAAATTAAAAAAAAAAAGAGACAAATACAGTATTAAATTTAATTTACAAAAAGTAACAAAAATAATGCACACATTTCAAGGTGGCCGTTTTTTTTTGCTGGTCAGTATATAACAACAGCAATGACTTGCAAAAATCCTTTATCTGTATGTTCGCGAATGTGTATGAACACATTCAAACAGCGGACTCTCACGTAAGAACGAGTTTCGCTTATTTTTTATTTGTTTATGGGTGTCAGAAACAAATGTGTTCGTTGCAGAATCCAGCACCTCAATTTCAGACATTATTTCCATTTCCTTTCAAAGTTGCGGAAATCGCTTCTTGAAAAACCCTGTCAACATTATATTTCCGATCAGGCCAACACTCCACATAACAAAGAGCACCAATTTCTTCAGCTAAGGCTCGTGCCTCCTCAAAACTAACTCTATCCCCATCAGAAAACCCTATCTTCGCTATAGTACCCACAAGAATGAATGGTATTCTACCACGAGACTTCATCACTTCCGGTAGCCATATCTCTTGAACATTACGAAATGATTGTCGTGAATAAACGCTGAAGAATATAATAACGACGTCGGCATTAGCATACATTTCTTTACGGATCACGCCAAATTTGTCACTACAAGTTGTGTCTATAATTTCTGCTACTACATATGTTCCATCTACTTCTACATCTGCTTGAAAGTTATCAAAAATTGTGGCATATGTATGACAAAATTCATCTTGTATATAGACTTGGATGGTTGCAGATTTGCCGCTCATGTCGCCAATTACTAATTTTTTTTTGCGAAGAGGGGTTTCCAGCACTCCGTGCTGATCCATCATTTAGGAATTATGAATCTGGTTTGTGGTTTTTGGTTTACCGCAACTAATATCCGATAAAAACCTCAGTGTTTGTCTACTTCCTTTCGTTTTAAACTGAGTTCCAATGTTCTGTGGTTTATGGCTTTAATTTGTGGTTTTATTTATCACGTTGACAACTCTTTAATTAATCAGGCAGTTAACCATAACCTCTAATTTTCAGTACTGCCAACTCTGCTGACTAATCTGTATCTGCAACCTGCAACCTCGCTCGACCAAAATCCCCAGACTTTCATACCATAATAAAAATAACAGTTCAAAAAAAGTTTATTCCGTGTTTGAGAATACAAATAACAGTTTATTACAAAAGTAAGCAGATTCTACACACTGTGAGTGCGAGTTTTAAGCAACATTTACCTTATTGAATAATTCTGCGATGACATAATCATAACCTCACTTTTTTAGAAAATCTGCAATGTCTCTGTCTCCCAGTTTAAAAACCCCTTTCACCGATTTCACGGGTGCCGTCGTGAGCCACCAATGGGGCAGTAGGTGCCGCGACATGGAGCTTAAGGCCTTAGATTGTCTGGAAGCTTACGGGCTGACCCGTGGAGTAACCAAGTGTGAAGACTTGATCACCGACTTTCAGGAGTGTTCTTTGCGTGTTAAGGAAGTATCGAGGTACGTGGCAATGAGGTCTGAGAGGGAGCGTCAATACCATGCTGGGGAACGTACCAAGGAGAACCGCTACGCGCCTCCTCCAAAGCCCGATAGTTATTAAACTGAGAAGTGTTGTAGCTTTGTTGTAAATAAACTAGTTTGACGGAAACTTGTTTGTTTTGGGGTAGTCAGATTTGTGTGTGTTGGTTTTGCAATTTCAATTTGGAGCAAATATTGTTTAAAGTAGACAGATTTTTGTTTTAGTAGTTATAACTGGTTTATTTAACTGTTATTTTAAAATTTGCTGAAGCCACAAAGTGGAAATTGAAGATAAAAATGTTACTGCGTGTACATTTACTGGAGACCATACAGGGTTGCCACGCCGTTTTGCTTGCTATCGGTAGATTCCTTCAATAATTTTCGGTAAATTTCGGCATTTTTTCGGTAGATCGGTTTTTTGTGATAGAAAAGGCATTACACATAAAAAATACGATTTTTTTTTGTCATATATATTTTGGTAATGAAGAAGGTAGAAATATTTTGTTATTAAAAAGAAATAAATATAAAACAAAAAACAAAATATTAAGATAGATCATTTAAAAAAATATATAGGTAACATGCTAAAGGTAGTAGGAACATTTTGTTAAAAATAAAAACAATAAAACTATAATGTTCCCCTTATTTATAAACTCGGGTGCTGAACTGTTTCGGGGATATACCGAATTTTGTCCAACTAATTAAAAAAATCCCCTCTTAATTATTACGCGTTTAAAAAGAGTAGATATTTGGCGCTAGTGCGTAATAGAGGGAGCTAAACAAATCCGCAGAACTAAATTTATATTGAAAAAAATATTAAGAAATGAGATTATAAAAAAAATATTGAAAATTTATAAATGCATTAAAAATAAAAATTTCTTAAATTATCGTAGACTTTTTGGTAGATTTGGTGTGTCAATCGGTAAATCGGTAGACAGAGCCCAAAATCGGTAGATCTACCGAAAATTCGGTAGAAGTGGCAACACTGAGACGATATTAATGGCGTCCCTTGTGGTATGTACAAATGACGTATGTAGGTATTGTACTCCCAGTTTGAAGTGGTTTTTATGACAAGACAATAAACATTATCACCTCATTATTACCCCCCGACGGGCAATATGAGTTGAATAACCAAGTACACCCCTGCAAGGAACCGACCAGTTCCTTATTAGGGATTTACTCCATCATCAACTTTGATACAATGAACCTATCATAAAATCTACTTTAAACTGGGAAGAATATACATTATATTAAAAAAAAAACTCTTCTTTATTTCATTTATTAGGTACGTGATAGGATATACATACTAGAATTTATTGTTACGAGGTGTATAAGTTGTATTTATTTTGTCTTTAACGTTTAAGCAACGTACTTAAACTTGGCATACATTGTAACAACCAATAAGATCTTACCAACCCATCTTTTGCTCTATTGATGCCATTATACTGAACTGTATAGGCTAGACAGGTATCTGTAGAACGCAACTGGTCTCTGTGGAAGTCAAAAAAGAAACTCATTCGACATAAATAAGTTTATTTTGTACAAAATATGTAGAATACAATAATTATTAAAAAGACACCGATGTAGTGTGCATTTTGTGTTCAGCAGTGCGAATATATCATTCATGCATAATACTGTTGATTAACAATCAAATTTGGAAAAGGTACAAAATGTTTAGTTCTAAGTTGTACGTCTATTGTTAACTCAGTAAGAATTGAAGGCAATAATTTTTACAGTTGTTTCGTAGGGATGGGGTCCAAATCCTACATAAAAGCTGATCGAGCAGCTTTACGCGAGTTCTTAATATTTACATGGTCCTTCCGTGTTTCACAGGAATTCGTTTTCCTACTGTTGACCACTCTCAAACGAAATATGGCTTCAAATGTAAAGGGTGTTTCAGAGTGGTAATCAGTCTCACCGTGCCTTCAACTGCACATTACTTAAAAACACTTAACGATTATCATAAGTATAAGCAGTACCACCCCGACTTTAATGTACAATCACATAAATCACGGCCAATTTTACATTCATAAAAGGTTTTTAGTTTTATGAACACATTAAATTGACATTTTATTTTACAGACAGTATAAAATTTATACATGTACAGAATGCTCATAAACTAGTGCACAGGAGATTATGCAAGAGAGGCACGCGGAGTGCCTTTAATCCCTAATGCATTATTTTAGATGAGTTTGTACTTTGGAGAAATGCGCGCCGTCTGCCACTGATTCCGACCGATGTTGAATTTTCGAGGGCACTAAACACATTTTGTATCTGGCGCGCTAATAAAGTCAACATGGTTGCGGTGGGCGTGGTCACTCGTTCGACCAATAGGGGATATCGGTCGGTACTGAATGGTAGACGGCGCAGCGCACCTTTAAGTAACCTACAATGACATTTTTGTGGTTATATCCTAAAAACTAACATGTCGATAAAATTTAGTTCTCAAAATCCGCTTCACCGTGACCCAGCTCCAATTTTCAAAAATCGCTCCACAAGGTAATAAGACGGAAAAACACCAAAAAATTGTCTTATTATGATCGATTTTTGGAAATTGTGTAAAGTTGAATACAAAATTGCAGCGACTTTTCAATAGTTTCGATCGCTTTAGTAAAGCAATGGAAATTAGTGAAAAGAGCGTGAGCGTTATAATAAGTACGTCGATAGTATAAAGCTAAAAACCCATCCCTACTAGAGTTCTTGTTTCATCCTTGAAGCTTATAATTAATTTGTGCATTGTAACCCACTTTTTGGCAAATCTGTAGTCGATGCTGATTGTGCCCTACAGAAGTGCGTCAGTGTTTTTTCAAAATTTCCCGAGCCGTGAGGCTTCTGTTTCTACCATATTTTGATCTTCGGTTCAAATTCGATTATAATATCACAATAAAATTTCTTAAAGGAATGGTAAACGGAATGTATTTGTTACAGTTTTTAATCAGTCACGAGCCCTTCACATCCGTCCCATTCTAAACTACATAATATAATAATAAGGCATAGACAAGTAGCGTATATGTTAATAGTTCAAATTTAAACATTCGTAAATAAACTTCACTTGAAACGGCACGTCGACCACTCCAGCCCTCTTGGTGGCAACAATTTTACTCTATGGCAGTTCTCTATTAACTAACTTGTGTGTTTAATTTGATTCGCTTAAATATTGCCAAATCTGGACTTCCAGACCAAAGTGCTCAACGCGCTCACCTAAGTAACCAAACGAAAAAATTATATGATATGTGTAAGTAATGGCTATGATTGCACTAAAACATGCCAGCGACAGATCTGCTGCTGTTGCGCCTCCTTCATGTCCATCCAGTGCGCCAACTCCTCGGCGCCACTGGAATTTAAACCTAAACTAAACCATCCCACCATCTCTTTCTTTTTCGTGACCCCTTTTCGGTTGTATACGGCCACCATCAGGGTTACGTCAGCCAGCTGAAATAGCGCCACCTGCAACACAACCCCAAAATTAATAATTCACACGCCCCATCAGCGCCATCTATACGCACTTGAAACACGAAGGTTTCTTTGAACAGGGGATTGGGTTGTCCTCTTCGCACCGTCGTCTTGCTGTGAGCCAGCTCCTGGCCCGTGCTGCTCACGAGGTTGAGCTTGACGTAGGTGTCGGGTGCTCGGTTTAAGGCTAAGTTACGGAAGTGCGACCCTTTGACCACCTCTATGCTGAGTCGGCCAGTGGTGGCGTTGTAGCACAAGCCGAGGAGCAGCTCGGGGACGCCGCCGTGCTGCATGGAGTGGGTGGAGCCGGTGCTGTCCGAGCGGGCCAGGCTCGTTAGCTCACCAGCGCATCCCGTCAGCTGAAAGAAAACTCAACAGCTGTACTATAGTCCGTTTACCGAACGGATGAAGCGATCACGTGAGCGTACAAAATGAGCCTCCAAGCTTACACGACAACATCAAAATTGAACGTGTAAAGAGACTTCAGCAGGTTTACCTGTTTATAAATGCATATTATATTCCTTGTTTTTGAAATGACGTACATTGTGATACAAAATGTTTTTCATAAAGAGTGGGCATGAAAAACAGATTTTCATGTGTCTTCTTCTGATTTATTGTCGTAGGATAAGGGTAAAAATCTAAATAATAATGAGCAACACATCGTGATAGTAGTTGATTTTGTTTTAGAAAACGTATATGGGTACTTTTTATATACTTAGCCACTTTGCCCTTAATTTTCTCTTTATATTGTGGTGACCAAATTTGAATTAAAATTTGGCGCTGAAAAAAAAATTAAATAATAATTTGAATTTAAAAAGAATTCAAATCAAGAAAATCGTTAAACATGGGCAACCATGTGCAAGTTTAGTTGTTTTGTGGTAGATGGTAGCTCTTCTAGGGGAATTTCTGGGGGGTATCTGGTGAGAGGGTTGGAGAAGATGGCTTGCTTGTAGAGAGGGTAGGTGACGTGTCACTACTGTTTTGTTTTTGGTGAGTGAAAGGACGCGGTAAGAAAACTAGGTTAAGTTTAGTTGGTTTGGTAGTTAAAAAAAAGGGAAGTCTCTGTTTAACGAGAATTAATCAAATCGATTGCAATGCCACAGTTTTCTTCAACACGCGTAACTAATTCTTGCTGTTTTTCCAAGCGAAAATATGTGAATTTTCAATCGACGCCAACACGTGGTCTAAATTTTATTGTTTGTAAATTTACCGTTCATGTTAGGATTTTAATCGTTACTGGTTCCAACATAATTTGACAGTCATAAGATTGTTTAGATAAAGCATTTGCTAGGAGATTTCATGAAATTCACTTAGTCAGGACTCATCCTTGGTTTATGAAGTTATAAATACAGTTTCGGAATGCTTATACTTAAGTGTTACGTTATAACACTTCTTAATTCCTCACACAAGATTGCTATTAGTTCATTTACGGCAGTTAAATTAATCTAACGTTGTCCTACTCTGAGAAAAGGACCGTCAAAGTGCGGTAGAATTTATAATATCGTAGACTGAGAGACGGGGGGGGGGGGGGGGGGGTTAAAATTTATCGCCTTAGGGAGTTATCATCATATCATCATTACATCATCGAGACATATTTCTCGCACCGTTGGAAATTATATCACCGAGACGCATATTTTTCGCAATGCGGGATGCGTTTTGTGTTTACTTATCATGTGTTTTGTTTGGGATAAGCTGGGGACAGTCCACGATCTAAACTTTCAAAGCTAATTGTTTTAAATCACCAGTCACTTGGATTATGGCATAATTTAATGTCATATAAATTCTTTGTTTGAATCGTTGATAAAGTGTGGCATAATTTAACATCATGTCAATTCTTTGTTTGAATTGTTGATAAGGTGTGGCAAATATTAAACTCATGTAATTCTGTTACCTTTGCAATTTTTCACCTTATGCAATGTTTATCAATCTCTCAATTTTAGCCTCAGTGATTTTCTTTGCTCTATAATTTAAATTAAACGTAAATTTTCAGGCTCTAACGTAAATTTTTTGCACAAATTTTACTTTATACCAGATCTTTTTTTTGTAAATATTTTGTTGATTAATGCTTCCATCATATAAATTGTCTGATGTCCAATCTTAATCTCAGATTTGGTGTTTAAAATTTCACGAGAGTGTAAGTGTGTTAGACAGAGGGGTGCTGGGCGGCATGTGCTTGCTGATAGGATAGATAGAATCACCGTCGTGGTGGGAGAACACCCACAACCAGGAGCCCCAAACTCCGCTCGGGCTACAACGCTCCCTATGGGTAATTTTGCTAGTTCAACCGCCACACTCTTATACCGCTCTGGTGCCGTTGTCGCTGCATACACTCATGTCGTTAAATATACAAATTTTATGAAAATTTTGATGCACTAAATTTGGTTTGCGACTTTACGATACTTTGCAGTTATTGAGAAAACCCATCCAATCTGTTCTATTCTGACAACGTCAAGTGTCGTCGTTCACATTTATTATCAACTATGTGGCGATAAAACGTGACTAATGGTTCGGCTTACCGTCGTGTCTACCCGCGGTTCGAGGTTAAGCCAAAAATTGTTCTCCAGCTCGAGGTTGATGTGTGTGAATCCCACGACGGCTTCACCGATTAATCGCTCCCTCCGCATCCTCTCGCACCCGTACAGACGCAGCCGGATCCCCATCGAGTTCACATCCTCTGCAATATATTGAGATTAATTGGGTTCGGTTGGTCGTTAGTGTTGACGGGTTAATCACCTGGATTCACCCGATGGAGGACGAAGCTTTCCATGTATTGGGGATTCTCGCCTGATCTAATCTTGGTTTTGTGTTTCTGCTTCTTGCTAGGCAATAAAATCAACCGCACCTATAAAACCAAACGGGTTATTTTGGGCGAGTTCACTCAACCCGGGAAGGGACGACCCCGCCGTTGCGCAACCCAAAAACATTTTTTTTTAAATATCACTTACGGGTGTATTGCGGTTGCGTTCAATTTCGTCGGGGTCGTCGCTGTAAGTTTTCCTTATTTTGATTTACGCGGGTGGTTCTGCCGCCAAAATAAGCCTCAGCTTCCCTCCGGTGCCATAAATTCCTTGATAAATTTTCCGGCACATCCTTACCTGCGTGTGTGTGGGTTGACCGCGATCCCTACTGGGAATATCTCTTGCCTGAAGAACGTGGACAGTCATTTTTCGCATGGGTGCGTCGTACAAAAGAGCAATTTCCAGTTGACCACATTTGTTGACCAGCTGCGTTTCAGGCTCGGACCTTATACAGCACATCAGATCGCTCCGTTCTTCATTGTCCGTGTTCATCACGACAATGCACTGGAAGTAATTAACTAACTGTTAGCAAGTGGACGCCATGATTAGAACACAAATAAGGGATTAAATGTGTCGGTTTAATTATCTTCCGCTGTTCCTCTGGGATTCAATCGAAACGGGGCCAACTTGACGACAGTTTAATGGATTTGTCTGGACAGAAGCGGCGAAATAACTTAATTTAAGAAATGCAGACTAAGTGAAAATTATCCATGACGAAGATGTTCCAGTTTAATATACTTAATGTGATTGGAGATTAACTTCTCAACAAACAACTTTTAGTGCTTTTGGGGGATTATATAACATTACTTTTTTTGTGAGCTGGTTTAGAATTATGTAACAGAAAATTTTATGTTACAAATACGTTACTGAATAATTGAACATGTGGTGCGTTTCTAATAAAAAAAAGACTTGGTAATAACTACAGACTGGATTTAATGCATATTTTACATTTATAGATTGACCATGAAACTAGAACATAAAAATGGGATTGAGTTTTAAATTCGTTTATTATAAAAAAAGTTTCGGTTATTTTGGTATTTGTAATAGTAAAATCAAGTTTTAGATAACTACCGAATAAAAACGTTGTCCAAATAGCTGCAATGTCAACATCATTATTTTACTAGTACTTAATTAACATATATTTTTGAACAAAACTTGTACATATCAATCCACCTTCTAGTAATAAACTAGTGCAAAAATCAATGTAACTGAAACAGGGAGTTCTTTCAGGCAAAGTTCCCTCGTACCCCTCAACTGTCCTGCAAACTCAATCCAATAGCATTGATTTCGCAGGACAGCAGTTTCCTGCCCAGCAAGTGCGACACCAACAAAACAAAAAAATTCGATCGACTCACGTCTCTGTTGCTGTTGATGTCCGTCTGGACGATGGTCGACGAGGTTTCGGTCTTCTGGTAATCAATTCCCTGATTGTCTATTTTCGTTTCTCGCAAATCCGTCGGGATCCTGCTGTGGAACAGTTTTCAAACATTAACTAACACAAAACTTGGCTAATTAACTGGGGACTTAATCCAATTAGAGTAGCAACAAACAGCGACTTAAATACCCGGCGCCTCCGCCGTTTTTAGCGTCCGACTGAACCGTACTTGGGACTCGTGATGAATTGTTTGCTGTTGATTATACACCTTAGTTTGTGTTTTCGTGTTTCATATCGTCTTATCAAGGTTGGCTTTCAAGAGTCCTTGACCTGAGCATCCTTGATCGAGGATACGGCGACTATCGGAAAATTCCACGAGTGCTTGTTGGAGGATTAAGAAGGGTTCGGAGGAATCTGTTGCGTGTTGGACCCGGAGAGGGGATGATAATGGGTGATAATAGGTGCGTTGAAGCTGGTAATTCGAGTTGTTATTGTTATTGCTGGCGTTATTTGCAGCCTATGCGCCACGTGTACAATGGCGGTTTGCTGTTAAGCTCCGGAGTTGGAGTCAAAGGAAACAAAATTTATTTAATTGAGGTAAGAAGATTAACGTTGCTGTGTGGATAATTTTGTAACAAAACCTGGGACAAACTAGTTTTTTAACTTACGTAAAGTACTATTAAACTGATTAAACTGCTAATATATTAGTAAAGTATTTGCCAGTTTTTTCAACACCACTTTGTTAATAGAACTAAAAAGTACAACAAGTAACGAATGTCTTTGTAAAAAATTGGTTCTTATGATAGATGGATATAACGGGTTTAACGCTAAAACCTCTGCTGAATTCAGTATTTTGATTACAACTTAACAGCCTTCTCAAATGTGTGGTTTTAAACTGTAAAACAAAAATTTCGTTGCAAATAAATTTACATTTACTTTGTGCGTTTTTCTTATAATATTACTGAAGTCTATTATAATCGAGTCCATGGCTACTTTTATGTTTTATCGACGTTTCATGACCCGTAGAGTACGAGAACATAGTTCTCACGTTTCCGTCTGTCTGTCTGCCGTCTGTCCGGATTTTTATTACTGAAATTACTGGACCTATTGTTGTCAAATTTTGTATCTGCATTAAGAATATGGTGTAGACAGTAAAACGCTAACTAACAATAGGATGATGAACATTTTTTTATTAAGCTTGGTTTAAAAAAATAGAGGGCGGGTGGGCAATACTAGTTTTTGCTAAAATAAGACTGATTTTGGCAGATGAAATACCCTCTAAGAGAAAAAGAGGGTGGGTGGGCGGTGTTAGTGTTAGCTAAAATAAGACTGATTTTGGCCAATGAAACACCCACCTAAGAAAATAAAGGGGGGGGGGGCGGGGCTAGTACTCGCTAAGATAAAACTGATTTTGGCGAATGATATACCCTCTAAAAAATAGAGGGTGGGTGGCCGAGGCTAGTACCCGCCAAGATAAGACTGACTTTGGCAGATGACATATGTTCCGAAGAAAATAGAGGGTGGGTGGGCGGGGCTAGTCTGGCTAAGATAAGACTGATTTTGGCAAATAACATAGCCTCTAAAAAAAGAAAGGGCGGGTAAGCGGGGCTAATACCCCCTAAGATAAGACTAATTTTAGCAGATGACATATGCTTTCAAGAAAATAGAGGGTGGGTCGGTGGGACTAGTACTTGCTAAGATAAAAGATTTCGGCGAATGACATATGCTCTGAAGAAAATAGAGGGTGGGTGGGCGGGCCTAGTACCGGCTAAGATAATACTGATTTTGGCAGATGACATATGCTCTGAAGAAAATAGAGGGCGGGTGGGCAGGACTAGTACTTCCTAAGATAAAAGATTTTGGCGAATGACAAACCCTCTGAGAAAATAAAGGGCGGGTGGGCGTATTTAGCTTAGACTGAACAATAGTAATTGGAGTCATTGCAATGAAGAGGGAGTGGGTGAGCAAGGCTGCAAGTATATAACTGAGTACGAAATTTCATGACAAGGCTCGATGGGCAATTATTGTTTCATATTTAAGTGTTTATTTATTTGATGATCACGTTGATTTACAAAGTAAAGAAATTAATTAATTAATTTTCATTTTAGAACTGTATCGATGACCTTGAGATAGATTCGGAAAAAATCCATCCAAAGAACGCATAGTAACTGTCGTTTTTTAATTTCTATTGACGTCATGTCACTTGTGGAAGATTTAAGACAGTTAAATAATTTCTTTTTTTTAAGACTTCTAATCTTTTGTTTGTCAATATGCTACTTACTTAGAACACAAACATAAATAATAAAAAATATAATTGAATTATATTTTGCAGTTTTTTAAGTGCCAGTTCACATACTCCCCCCGGATATCTTCCAATCGTTTATACAATGTCTCTACTATATCCACAGACTGAGTTAAGGTCAGACCAATGGTCTCTAATCTAGTTATACTTGTTTTTAAGATGGTAAAATGGAGCAATAAATGAAAATTTATATATCGCTTCAATCCATCAACCCCATCTTGACAGAACAGGTTCTGGAGGCAATGGATAATCCAGTAAGGCTTCCCGGAAGTGATATTGGAACGGTTTAAGCAGTAGGCGTTTGCTACTCGTTTTACTTTCTAGTTCGGTCGAGAAAGAGGTGTTCATAGAACAGGCAAAATACTTTGTTGACGGTGATGTGTGGCGGCTAAAATTCCGCTTTCTTTCGATACTAGCAAGTTTTAGAAGTATAATCATTTATGGTCTTACTGTATCAGTAATAACACAGCTCTGCTTTGATCATAAGATCAAATGTTTTATGTCAAACCTTACATGTTGCTTTACGTTCCATTCGGTTAATTTATCTTTATTAGTTTTTTCATGATTATGAGAAATTCCATTAAGAATATGATTCGTAATATTTATTCTTTCTCTTTTACTTGAATGTAATAGGAAGTGTATATGAATAATAAAAAATGTCATCGTTTTGATAGCATCATTACCGATGGAAATTATTCATTCCGGTATTGACTTTTAATAAATAATTCAAATCGTGTCAAGTGTATTCAACCTACACATCAGAGACCTTGCTGTTCAAATCTTGACCTTTTTCTAAACAAAGCAGTATTTAATGTAACGTCTTTAGTGCTTCCTCTTCGACCAGATTTTGTTTATATTAACACTATATTTTGGAAATTTTAATCTAAATCTAGGGTGACGTCATTTACAAATAGAGCGTAGAACAAACGCCCCAAAATACATCCCTGAGATACCCCAAATTAAATATTGTATCAGACTGAAAACCACCATAACCTTTCTTGTATATTGAACATACATTTGATTGTTTCTAGATGGAACGATATACCCTAGATTGGATCAACACGTTAAAGGTGATAGATAAAAGCGAAGTGCAAGTCTATTTGCGTTATAAAAGTGGAACTACGCTTCTACAGTGTTAAAAATGCCCTTTTACCCTTGGTTGTTGTCGTTGATCTGTGCGGCGACCCTCGTCGCTGGCACTCCGTGCTTCTCGCCCACCGAGCTGGTGGTGGAGCTGCAGCACGAGCTGTTGCTGCTGACTCCGACCCTGCCCTTCTCGACCAGGGAAATCAGGTCGTGGATTTGTCTCGGCGGATAATAGGGCCCGGTGGTGCCCGACGGTGCGGCGGTACCCTGTCGGAACTTGGAGCTACCGCCCATTTCCGACTCGGAACTGGAGTCTCCGCCGTCGAAGGAGTAGGCTTTGACTGAAACAAGAAAGCGGAATCAATGGCCGTTATTGGGTTAGTGTGTTCAAATATACATGGAGCCAGACGCAATAACAAATGGGTTCGGAACAGGTGGTATCGATCAGGAGCACGAAAACTCAAGGTTGTCGAGGGCGGAATTATTCATTAGGTGGATGGGTCGTAGGGGAAAGTGGGGGCTGGGTTTTGTCGTGGTGTTGTGTGCGTCCTCGGAATGTTGAAGTTGTGTTGGGGTGATGGTGGTAAATTGAAATTGCGTATTACGGTTGGTAATTAGCGAGGAAGGGGGAGCGTAGTCGGCGTGAATGAGTTGGGATCAGTAGTGGTGAAAAGTAATGATTTTAAGAAAATGATACCCTGTGAACTACAGAAAAAATGTGAAGTCTTAAACTTTCCATAAAACTATTTTTTTTTATATAAAAAAACTTGTAGATAAACCTGAAAATGCATAAAAACAGGGTATCCCCCTTGAAAAGTACGAGAAACCTAACACTTTGCAAAGTTAATCACCTTCTGTAAATAAATTCAAACACTTCAGTTTTTTTACACTTTCATCAAAATAAAGCAACTAAAAAGTCTCTTGCGAAATTTCAGCTCTTAAAAATGAAAATTTGTTGAAAATTGTAGATTTTTTAGTCTTCATGTTTGACATCATTTTCTCCCTTTTAGTAAAAAGAGATCTAAATGTATCAAAATATATTGGGTGTTACATTTAAAAATATGCAGCTATGGTGTGTCCCATTCCAATAACACACCATGTATTTTTCAAAACAGTTTTCAAAATTGTAGTCATAAATGAGTTCTGTCAGTAATTCACAAGGAATCGGTAATACTTTAATATATTATCTCATTACCTGTCGAAAATTGATATTCTGTAATATCTTCTATTCTAAACGCTACATTTTTGAGGCATGATTAGGCGGGTAATCGTTGAATATTAAACCATAGATAATAAAATAGCGCTCAATAAGGTAGATTGAGGACAAGTTTTACTGAATAACCTTTTGAAACTATGCCATCAACTTAATAAAGAAAAATACCCTATTTTTTCCAATCTAAGTAATCACAACGTTATTATGCTACTAAAGTTAGGTAAATTAGTTCTTTATAAAAACAACTAAATTGTTCTATATATTTTTACTTCCCCAGCGTTTTCTCGACGTTTCATGACCCCTAGAGTACGAAAAAAGTGGTCTCCCATTTCCGCCTGTCGTCTGTCGACTTTTATTACACAAATAATCTCTCAGAGTACTCGGTTATTGTCAAATTTTTTATGTACATTAGGAATATCAGGTAGATGGTAAAACACTAACCAAAATTTGACTAATCATCCCACCATGACGTGCGTTTATTATATTGTATAATTATGATTAACTAAATTTCATAAAATAATTGTTATTAAGAATTCCAGAAGTCGTAGGCCATGACTGCAATAGCGCTGACGATCGGACTCATCGCCAGTGATGGCGGCCGCACGGCGTTCGCTAAAGAAAAGCTTGGCAGCGGAAGTCGCGATGGATGCTCCAGAACAAGCCTAGAAGCGGTGACGGCGACCTTTGGAGAAGGACCTTGTGCTGTTTAAATGGGAACCACCGTCGGGAGCAGACAATGGGAAAAGTAGAGTCTAGTCAAATCCACTTCAGTCGGAATTATTCTGTACATAATCGCTGTGTAACTAGTCGTATAAATTTGTGTTGTTAAGAAATAAATTGGTGAGTTTTTTACATTTGTTGTCTGCTTTGTTACAGTCAACAGAATCATTATTATCTGAAAAAGAAAGATGACGCAGTTTCATGTATATGGACAACTGCCTACTTACTGCAAATGACAAGCAAATAGTAGGAAATATCTCCACAGTGTAATTGTTGGTGTCTGAAATCAGTGCGTAAGTCACCAAAAAGGAAGAGAATCTAACGAATTAATAAAGCAATATTAAAACTATGGTCTCCATAGTGCTTACTCAATTGCGTATGAATATTACTAACGAATTTTTGTAACTCGTTTCACTTTTATTAATATGGTCGCGTTTTGGGTTGCTGACCATAAATTACAATACTAGACAAATTATTGTCCTCCAGCGATGTTCGTTAAGTTGAATACATTCATGTAATGAAAAATACTGAGTAAAATTGACAATTTATTTGCTTCCACGTAAACATTTTCAATAATGCAAAAGGCAAGACCTTTACGAATTGAATAAATGTTTCATTAGTTGATTAATAAAGAAAGACACTAAGTTAATACAAAATTTTTAATTCAAACACCGGAATTCAAGCCTCTCGAAAAATCGGTCGAACTTCCCTCGCCTCTGAAGTGCAATTCGACAAATCCCGCAGCCTGGACAAATTCCAAGGGAACGCAGTCTATACACGTGCGGACACTATGAAATTAAATTAGCGTACTCGTATAACCAACGGGGAAAAATGAAATCTTTTTGATCACTCGGTGGGCTATTATAATACCGTATGATCAGAAACAACTGAATTTGTTGGCACTACTTTTTAAACAAAATTGTGAGCTTTTCTTGCGTTTATGTTGGTATAACGGAAGTAATTGTGTGATAGATATGCCGTATGTCAATCGTGACATATTTGGATACATTTTGTAAATTGAAAATGTCAAAAATCTGTCATCTTGATAGCTGACAATCGGAAATTACAGAAAACATCATGATACCAATTTTAACTAAAAATCCACGCGGTATAAAGTTTATCCCCACAACACCGAAAACGTGAAACGCGTCGAAAAATATTTTGTGTGTTTTCGGTGGGGAAAAATGCTTTTCGAGAAATCAAACAACCATTGGAATACCGATAAATCGAGAAATTGAAAAATCAAAAACTTTAAAAGTCAAAAACTTAGAAAACCGAATAATCGAAATCCAAAGATCGAGCAAAAAATTGAAAAATTAAAATTTCGAAAAATTGAAAAATCCAGAAATTGAAAAGTTTCCAAATTTGAAATGTTGGGAAATTGAGAAAAAAGAGCCGAAAAATTAGAAAATGAAAAAACCGACGTGCCAAAAAATCGAAACATCAATCGTAAAATCGAAAAATTGAAAAATCAAAAAATTGAACAATCGAAAAATTGAAAAATTCAAAAATTGAAAATTTAAAAATAGAACAAGTGAAAGATGGAAAAGTCGAAAAATCGAAAAACTAAGAATAGGAGAAATCGAGAACTCGAAAATTTTTAATTAAAAAATCGAAAAATTGGAAAATCGGAAAACTGAAAATCGAGAAACTGAAAAATTAAAAAACTAAAACGAAGCAACGAAAAATTGGAAAATCGAAAAGCCGAAAAATTTAAAAACCGAGAAATCAAAAAATCGAATCATCCAAAAAATTCAAAATTTGAAAAATCGAAAAATTGGGGAACTGAACAATAAAAAAATCGAAACATCGAAACCTGGATAAATCGAAAAATCGAAAAGTCGAAAGGTAAAATTAAAAAACTGAAACATCGAGAAATCGAAACATCAAAAGGTCGAAAAATGGAGAAATTGAAACGTTAAAAACTGAAAAATTGAGAAATTTAAGATCAATAAAATCGATAAATCATCGAGAAGTCGAAAAATCTAAAAATTAAAAAATCGAAACAATAAAAAATGAAAAATTGAAAATTAAAAATTCGAGAAATTGAAAAATCGAAAAATCGGGAATCCGGAAATCGAATAATCTAAAGTTTAAAAAATTTAAAAATTAAAATATCGAAAAATTGAAAAATAGAAAAAGTAAAAATCAAGAAATTGAAAAATCTATATATCGAAAAATTATAAAATCGAAAAACCGACATGTCAAAAAATCGAAACAACAATCGTAAAATCGAAAAATTGAAAATTCAAGAACTGAAAAATTCAAAAATTCAAAAATCTAAAATTTAAAAATGGAACATCTGAACATTCGAGAAGTCGAAAAATCGAAAAACTAAGAATTTGAGTAATCGAGTAATTGAAAATCCAAAATTTAAAAAATCGAAAAATTGGAAAATCAGAAAACTGAAAAATCGAGAAACTCAAAAATTTCAAAACTAAAACGATGGAATTTTTGGGAATCAGTGAATTGAAAAACAGAAACAATGAAAAATTGGAAAATCGAAAAGCCGAAAAATCGAAAAATTGAGAAATTGAACAATAAAAAATTCGAAGCATTAAGATCTCGATAAATCAAAAAATCGAAAAATTCAAATATTGATACATCGAGATATCCAAACATCAAAAGGTCGAAAAATAGAGAAATCGAAAAGTTAAAAACTGAAAAATTGAAAAATTTAAGGTCAATAAAATCGATAAATCAACGAGAAGTCGAAAAATCTAAAGATCAAGAAATCGACACATCAAAAAATGAAAAACTGAAAATTAAAAATTCGAGAAATTGAAACACTGAAATCTCGAAGAACTGAAAAATCGAAAAATCGGGAAATCGGGAAATCGAATAATCTAATGTTTAAAAAATTGAAAAATCAAAATATCGAAAAATCGAGAAACTGAAAAATCGAAGTCGAAAAATCGGAAATTTTAAAAATCTAAGCATTGAAAAATCAAAAACCTGAAAAATCGAAAAATTGAAAAACTGAAAAATCTAAACAATGAAATGTCGAGAAATCGCGAAATGGAAATCCAAAAATCGACTAATCGAGAAACTGAGAAACTAAAAAATTGAAAACTTAGAAACGTCAATAATTGAAAAATTGAAAAACCGAAAAATTTACAAATCCTACGACTGAAATATTGGAAAATTGGGGAATCAAACATGAAAACAATCGGGACATTGAAAATTTGAAGAATCGAGAAATTGAGGAATCGAAAAGTTCTTCACGACTTTATACGCCATAAGTTTGCGATTATGTTAATTTTTAAAATATATAAATAACATTTATCTGAAAAAAAATTAAAATCAATTCTTGGAGTGAAGGCATGAACGGATAACATTTGACTAATGATAACCTCGATTTTGCAATTTTAAATTTAAATTGTAAATTTTGTTAGACAATTTTGATTT